ATATATATATATATATATATATATATATATATATATATATATATATATATATAAATGAATAATAGAAAACATAATGTTTAACTTTCAATTTTCCACTGAGATTGTTTGGCTAGTAGTAGTATATTCGTCATTTGCAGAATTCAGCACTTCGAGATCTCGTTCGGGTTTCGTGTATTGTCCTTTGCATTTGTTTCATTGTTATCCTGTCCCGACCGCATTCTAGTGTTTTCCCAAATACTCGCACCAATTAGAACTATCGACCCTACCTATTACCATTCAGGCAGTAGGCTATGCTTTTTAAAATGTTAAAATTCTCATTTTTAATTCAGTCATTAATTTGGCAGGTATTTGTCAGTTCGTTCATCTCAATTACAGTTATATCTTGCCTGTTATACTCAAATCTCTTATCGTATTTGAAGTTTTTGATTTGCATATCTCATATCAGTTTTTCTGGTTATATTCCCACTGCTTTCTCGTAAAAATACTTTATATACGTGCTGAAGATATCAATAAATTGATCGTGCAAAAGCAGTACTTACTTGAACTTGGTACCGCTTCCTACTCTGTTGCTCTCGAGAAGTTGTTCTGGCCAATATTGATCAAAGTTACAAGGGAAATAAATGTCGTTCAAATGACTCGGCTCAATTTTGTAACTTATTTGTGAGATCATAACGAAATGAAGAATGTGGGAATGGTCAGCTGCTGCATAATGATGGTACACCAGTGGTCATTTTTGTTATCGTCTTGAGTGGAAAGAAATAACAATTTCTGAAGAAATGGTGCGGATCGCCTCTAGTAGTTTCTTATGTACTCTTTTATGCCACTTCATGCCAGGTGAGATTGACTGAATCGTCCTTCAAATAATTTTCGTTCATTAATTAAATGATTTACTGAGCTTTAAGGGTTTTCAAAATGAAATACATTTCTACTGAGATAGCTCGACAAAAGCAAATCGAGATTAAGGGTGAATGCGAGTTACAATACTTCTTGGTACCTACTACTTAGGTTGACGGATACTGGCATAGCGCAAAAACTTGTGAATAATTTAAAATTAGTAGTTAATAATTCAAGTATGCTTTTCCTTATTTGTTACTTTAGCATCGTTGTCATAATCTCACGGTATCTCCGTAAATATTCATTATTCAGTTTATTAGCAAAAATGGATGAAGTATTCGATAGTAATATTAGGTCAAAAAATCTTTGTGACATTAACTATACCACCCCAAAGGATGGAAAAAAAATCTTGGAGGTTATATAATTCACTTTAAATGAAATAATAATTTTTTATAGGAGGTCAAAAGTTCATTATGTTCATTATGTTATCTTCTTTTTTTATATATATTCAGAATGTTGACAAGAATGGAATTCTGTGAAAATCTGAAGTACCCAATCATTTTCAGCCACTCTTTGTTTTCTTCTTTTCTTGTCATTCTTGTCGAGATCGTACATTATTTATATGCTGTTAGATAAGTAATTTGTAGTTTGGAGCGCAGTACACTTTCAACGAAGGATGAAATCGGCTGGTGTTGTTTTTGGAAAGGTACACTAATTGTTTGTTCCTTACGATGATGAGAAATTGTTCTTCCACTTAGTCTTTTGTATATCCCTGTTTTCGCAAATCGTAATTGTGAAGTGAATTGTATCTTAGGGAAATTTCTCCAGTTGCTGTAATCTTCAGTAAACACTGACATTGACATTGACATTGGCAGGTGTTAAGTTTTTATTCGTTGTTATTGAAGAAACTTTTTATTTGGTTGAAAAACTTGAGTTCTTAAAGCAAAAATTTATTTTTGAAGATGTTGATATTACATTAATTACTTAATAAATGATCTGTTTCGATAAAATTTAAAAATATATGTTTTCAAATTTTCCATTATGAATATCTGCTAAAAAAACAAACTATTTTTTGAAGGAAGTACCACTATTCCGTAATCCAAAAATACAGCACGACAATTCGTCATTCAGATATCAGATTGATATCCTAATGGTGGCAGATTATTCAGTTTACAACAATTTTCTGGACATTGTTCGGGGCGATGAATACTCGGCATTTTCGGCCACGAACGATTACTTATACGCCATTTTTGAACAGGTAACTGCTTCAAAAGAATTGGGAAAAAAAATAATGTTAAAAGAATTGAAATATGGGAATGGTAGATTAGTAAGATTAATGGGACTATATGATGATATTAATGGAAAGATTAATGAGGCTATAATGGCAATGATTATTGACGATATTTGTAGTGAGAGTGATAACGGTATTACATAACTGTATTTTGAATACAGTGTCATGAGAAGAATGCTAATGATATTGACAATGATATCGAAGGTCCTGAACAATCAAAACCAAAATCGCCGTAACTTCATTTCCCACGTTAGGTATACAATTTGTTATTTCTAACAAAGCATGAACGACAGGTGCGGTCAATCTACGATGGTAATGGTTTATTCGAGAATGTTCCGGTAACCTTGAATCTGGCATCAGCAATGGCAATAATCCGTGAAAATGATTGTCCCTTAGCGCCATTTCTAAATCGGAGCAAACTGAACAATTTGGAAAATACGACGCAGTAAAGTCTTTTTTCCTTCTTTCTGAAACGAACTACGTAAAATGTGGAAGAAGAAATCCACAAAATATTGAGAATAAGAAAAACAACATTACAGCCAAAATTCCATTCAGTAACGTTCTTCAAGAAGTTTACACTTCTTCTGCTTCAGTGAATTTAAAAGGAAAAACACTTAAAATAATATCTCCCTATTAGGATGAGTGGATTAGATGCTGTGAATTATATACAAAAGTGGGTAGCTGATTATTCGCAATGGATTCCAACACATAATCATATCATTGTTTTGACAAGGTTTGTGCAATATGAAAATTACAGTTTTGGTGCGTTTGAAATTAAGCTTAAATTAACTCAAATTCCAAGCGCCTAAATTTAAATAAATTAAACTGATGATTTGAGATATTTCTTTGATTTCATATAAAATTTCACTTCTCACTGCAGAATCGATTTACTTTCTTCAAAAGGTGATTCTAATACCCAAGGAATGGCATACGTTGGAGCGATGTGTCGAGTTACTGAATCAGCAAGTGTGGTAGAGGATATCGGCGGTATGGCTACCGCTGTAATTGCTGCTCATGAGTTGGCCCATAGGTATACATACATTCGTAATATACCTGTGAAAATTTGAGCGGTTAAAATCTAATAAACATCTTCTAAAGAGAGACCTCCTCAGTGCAAGTCCAAAATTTAGATGTTCCACTTAAAAATTGGAAAATTTTCTACAGTCTTGGTGCATTTCATGATGGCGCTGTTGGACCAGTTGAAAATTGCGGAAGGAATTATCTAATGTCTGCAACAGTATCAAGCTCGGATGATGAACAAAAATTCTTCAACACATTCAAATTCTCACCGTGTTCAGTTCAACAAATTCAAATGTTTTTTGCGTACTTCTTTAATGAAATTTGAATGAATAAAACTAGGGGTTGCTTTCTGGAAAAGTTAAAATGTATTTTTGGAATAGTAAATTCCTCAACAGAATTTGGCATTTTAAATTTCAACACATTCTTTCTGTTTTCGTTGTATCAAATTTTCTCCATATACTTTGAAATGGTTATTTGAAATTGCTTGAAAAATTGCAGAAACGGGACAGCTAACTGCTTGCTACGATCAAAGAATCGTGAAAGGCGATTACGACGTACTTCGCAACGTAAGCATCGCAAACCTGGCGAATTGTTGGTGCAACAGAACCAGTGCAAGATAGCATTTGGACCCCATTACAGTGTCTGTCCGGTAATTTAATTTTTTGAAACAAAACTGTGAGATATGCAAATGAAAGCTCGGATATTTAGACGAGCAAATTAAAAATGAAACTGAGAATTCTTTTCAACGAGATTTTAATTACAATGCATACTTGAATAAAGGTCAAGAGAGGGGTCGGGGAAAAGGAAAGCTTCTGTAAGGATCATGATAATATTACTAGGTTTGTTGGGTTTTGATCGAATCTTTTGGTTCATAATAATCTCTCAGTAATTTCTGCAGCATAATTTCAACCATCTCTTGATGATTTGACTATATAATAGGGTTAATTTTTAATTTTCCCACTGGGTTTAGCCCAACAACGTGCGACGAATAAATTTCCTTTCACTTAAGAGGAAGGAATATTTATCGAAAAATCCATGTCGACGACTTTGGTGCAAAAATCGACAGCTGCGCAAGACGGAGCCATGTGAAACCAAATTGTATTTACCTTTATTAGACGGGACTAAATGTGGACCTGATAAAGTAACTTCTTAACAATTTAGTTTTCATCATTAAAAGCAAACAATAAAATAAAAATTAGGTTACGTGGTGAATAAAGTAATTGATTTATCAGAACTCCAAATTCATTGGAAATCTCTCCGGATGTGTCTGAATACGAATACACTCGCTTTTAAAATTAATACACTCCAATAATTATAGTTGATAGAAATACCGAAATTTAATCCAACAAAAATCATTGCTGATTTTAAGTATTTATTTTCAGTCCAATTTTTCATCAATTCCCAATTTGTATACTTTTAGTGGTGTCTTGGGGGAAATTGTGTAGCAATCAATAAAGAAAGAGAAAGTAAGTTCATTTGTGATTGTTATCACATCGTCTTCTGAAATTAACTACTCTTAAAAGTCACGTGGTTAAATCCGAGTTTTTCAAGTATTGGATAAATTTCTTTGCACTTTGGTAAACATATATTTTTCTAAAAGTTTTCAGACTGCGTCGATTTGAATTCATCAATGTGCCTTGAATTATCTGACAAAAAGCTTAGCGAATACTGTCATTCGAAAGAGTTTCACTCATTATGTTGCGTCACTTGTTCTCAGCTTATCCATCGCAAAATTTTCACCACTTCAGTCTATGATTTATAATTATTATCCATCCAAAAAATATTATCTTCCTCTTCTCTGGCACTTTTTACAACAGTTAGAAAGCATTGTCAGATCGTAAAATAATTCATGCATAGTTACTTTGTTCCACAATGTTATTAAGCTGAAGTCCATGTTTGAGAAAGAAATTTGAAAGCAGTTAGATTTCCAAATCACAGGAATGAACTTAGAACTTTCCAGTTCTGGACCATTCTATGGTTTCCCCTAGACTTTAAAGAAATAATGGGTCACCATACCTCCTATATTGCTCAAGTAACAAATATGTTATAAGCTGTCGCAAATTGAACTTGAGTCTTCTCTAATTTATAAACACTCTTCCTCCTTAATTCTATTACGCCTACCAGTATTTAAGACTTTATCTTATATTTTTATCAATAAAGTGAACGGACCACATACCACTGGTAGCCTGGCTAGTTACTGCTACGATCCATAAAGTCAGTGCAGAGAGAATATGTTGCGCAACCACATGAACATAAACATGTACGTACATGTCTTTCACAGATTTCAGAAGATGTAGAAAATGCTAACGTTGTGTTTGCGAGTGAAACAACAGCTAATCACAAGAATTCTTATTCTTCAGAAATATTTTACTTCGAAAAATTTTAAAACATTGCAAACTTTACAGGACATGACACTTTAATATAAGGCAATCAACTTTAAGTGAGAATAGCGTCAAAGTGAAGTGAGGACTTATTACGCTTCAAATGTATTGTACAAAGCGAAATAGCGAGGAAATGATCTATATGTATTTCATGTCGAAGAGAACATGAATACCCGAGAGCAGTGAGCATAATTTCGACCGTAAAATGTCGACTACATTCGGATGAAATTCGAGTTCAAAACTCAACTTTACATTTCAACATATTACAGTGGATGTATTACAAAAGATAAAAGTCTTGAACCAAAACACGAGTAAAACAGCTCACAAAAGGGAGAAGTGAAACCCATGGGAGTAAGCAATTTCCAAGAGATTCTTTTAGAACTTCTATGAATCATTGAAAGAAATATGGTTAAGAAATGCCGATCAAGCAGAAAGATATCAACCTTGATGATGAACCAGGAGTAGAAGACTGCTCTAACATTTTATAGAATAATATATTGGGGTACTAAACTCGTGCAAATTCAGTGGTTTCAGTAAAATTCTGAGGTAAAATAGCAATGAGTGAAGAAAGGAATAAAATAAATATACAAATAACAACAGCACTTTCTTCAGATGTTCAAGAAGCTACAACACGGTACGAAACTAAAACATCAATTAAAAAACATGTGGAAGGTTTCCAAAATTGTTTTGTCAAGACTTTTGGAAACTATTCATATGCTTTTTGCAGTTAATGTTGCAAGACAAAATCTCAACAATTCACATCAAATAGATATTTATAGACTCTCTTCCGATAGAAGTTTTAAGCGAACGGTTAAGGTCACAAAGGTTAAGAGATATCGCTGTAAAATCAGATACCCAGCACTCTGGAGAAACAAAAATTGAAAAAACAATTCTGCAAAAAAATAGTTGCCAGTACCACACATTACTGCAAGAAAATGCAGAAAAATAAAGCTAATAAGTTCGTGGTGTTCTGATAAAATACTGATCGAGTGTTCGTTGTGTTCCACTCTTTTTCCTTGATTTCGGTGTTAATTGGTGTATATCAGTTGAAGGATTCTGAGACCGCAAATTCTGCCTTAAGTTTTGTAAATCAGTGCGAGATTTCACTGGCATTTTTGGTGTTGACTGCCGATGAATACGTTCACGTGGTTTATGTAAACTTTGTTTAACGCGAATTTTACGAGGAGATGTGCGATCGACACGCTCCTTCATCGAAATCATATTTGAACAGTTTGATGGCCTATAAAGTAGAAGATAATAGGAAAAATAGAAAAATGTGAAACAAATTAATAATAGATTTTAGTAGCAGTACTATAATGGAATCAAAACAAGAACATAGTGCCAGATAAAGGTAGATTACCTTTTCTTCTTCGTTCAGCGGACTGCAGGCTGTTCAGAAAGAAAAAAAAGTCAAACAATGAGAAATTAAAAATAGTCTTACCGATCGGAACTCGATGAATGTTCATCCAGTTCTGGACTTCTTCCTTCTTCTAATATGGTCGTTTGCGACTCTGAATTCACGTTCGACGCTGCAAGTTTTTCCTTGACGAAATCTGGCAAATTCATCGTTGGATACCTTAAATGACTTATAATTTGCTGTAGAGCAGCATCGAGAAAACATGTAAATTAAAGAGTGTTTGAACTAAAATCAACAACCAAATCGATATTTAAAACACACTTGAAGTAAAAAGCACATGGAACTCGGCTCTTCGTCTCGATTCCGGAAAAATCAAGTTTTCGTGCCGCATGGCTTGATTTGTTAGTTAGATCACAGAGTGGTGGAGATATCGATTCCGTGACCCTTAAAATAAGATAATTGGGGAAAAGCTGCAAGAAATAATTGCGTTTTGAAATTTCTTGGGTAGCAAAACTGGGAATAAACTAAAAAAATCATACTTGAACATTTTTTTCACCGGCGACTCACTTCCATTTTTTGTTTCCACATCAACCCGGTTTAGAGGACTTTTAAATGGACTTTTGAAGGGACTCCGTTCCGTATTTTTCTTTGGGATTGAAACTGACACATTTAATTGCTTCCTACAAAACATACATATCCCAACATTAAATTTTTTGTGAAAGGAACGAAAAAGCTAAATGTAGTTCAGAATAAATTCCGAAATCTAGAACTCGTAATACATTTTCTGAAACTTGAGAAGTATAAAAACGCAGAAGTAAACGCAGAAACATAGAAATATACGATAAAAAATATGTTGGATGTATCATAAACTGCATTTTTACGTGACAAGTAAAAAAAAATGATAATTATAAAGCATACATTGACATTTCAGCCCTGGCTGTTTCAGGCAATTCATACAATTCAACACAATCCTGGTGCATTGTGATTGGAGATTGATTTTTAGAATTTCTCGCACTCCAATTCCAAATTTTCAAATACGAATCATCCATCGTAACAATATAACGTCCATTACTGCTGAATCTCGCAACGGTAACCTTAATGGGATAAAAAAAAGGCAATAATCCTCATTTTTTCCGAAAAATGTTTTGTTAACTGCGTTGAAATTATAGAAGCTATTAATGAAACGAGATTCTGAATGATAATGAGTGAAAATGCATAGAATTACGAAATAATTACTTCACATCTCATGAAATTTCACCTGGTAGTATCGCATTTTAATTGTAAAATTTAAAGAGATCCTTAATTTGCAAGCAGTTTGCTCAGTTTAAGTGCTAAAAAACAGACCTCATAGCGGTGGCCACCTAATGTGTATTTCGGGTAAGGCAAATACTTCAATTTGCTCGTGTTAGAATTGGAATATTTTTCCTATAATAATAAAATGATAGAATGAAAGTGTATTTTAAAATTAAGGGAACAAATTCAAATGATAATTAACGTATCTTAAATTCGAAAGTCCCAGAAAAAAAAATAATTGATAACCTGTAAATCCCAGATAACAGCGAAGCAATCACCACCTCCAAACATTACGTGATCAGAAGTTGGCGAAGCAGCAATTCTAAAATCATATGTGTTGAAAGACGTTCGCTTGACTCCTTGCAAAATGCCAACTGAAATTTTCAAAAACTTTAATCCCTCACGTATGTGGATGAAATTAGATATATGATAAATATACAATCTGAATATACGGAAATAGAAAAAACACCTGGTGCGTTATTTAACCCTTGAACGCTGTACTGATAAATTTTTGAGTCTGTGGATGCAACAAAAAGTGATGAGCTGAAGCGATCAAGACATATCGAAGCAATACCTTAATAAGAGAAATGAAGATACTATTTTTTAAAAAAGTTTATTTGAAAATCGTAACTCCAAATACGATAAAAAGCATTCAAAACTGTTGGGAGAAACATTCAGATTTGTTAAACAATCAATCCTTAAAACCCTTAATTATGTATTTCCAATCATTCCTGAAAAAAATTTTTCTTGAAAAAAAAGAATACTCTAATCTAAATTTTGCAGATTGCAATATTATGTTTTTCATTTCACTGAAACAAAATTATATGAAATGAATCCTACTTATTTTTAAAATAAGCGCGAATAATAAAAAAGAAATTTAGAACAGCAACATACCGAAATCACGAACTAAAATACTATTTGGATCGTCAAGAATACGAAATGGGCCATTTTTGCCACGATAACGGAGATCCCAAAACCGAATACCCCTGTAGTAAATTCAAGATCTAAACCAACGATCACGAAACATCACTATGAGGGATAAGAGAATCATTAGAATGAGAAGCGTAATAAAAGCGCATATTAACTGCAAAAACAAAAGACTTCACGTTTTGAAAGACGAAGATGCTGATATTAAGGTGTTTCCATTATAATGTACTAAAGAAGTGATTCCTTTTGAACTTGTCGAAACTGACATACGCGATCTTCGCTTTGTTCCAATATTTTGACCTGAAACTGTACGGATCAGAGCCGTAAAATACAAAGTTAATACGATCAGGATATAGATATTGGGATGATCAAAGCAGTTTTGAAAACGCTAGGGGAATTGGATTGGATAACAAGAGTGGGTGACTTCTGGGTCTTGATTCGTTATTGTACGTCAAAGAATGTGCAGATCTCAAAAATCTACAATGTCAATTATCTGACTAAATTTGTCACGCATTATATTAAATGAAGGTATAATGATATGAAAATAATCTTCCTCCAAATGCAGCACAAGCTGAGAAGAGGAATGAGCACTATATTCCCATTCTGCATTGAGTAGTTGCTCATATTTGTTCGCTTCAGCTCCTTCTTGAAAAAAAAAAGACAAAAAAAACGATTCTATTCCTTTACCTATATGTTAACTATAATACTTCGAAAATTATACTTCTCGAAAATTATTGTACATGTATGTAAAAGCATACGTTCAGGAGCCAGTAAAGGATGTGTATTTTCCAGAAGATTGAAGGGACGCACAACGGTGGCTTGTGGTTCTCGTCGATCCCATATGCAAATTGTTCCATCTCGAGCTCCTGTTGCAAAAAGATCTGCAATTCGCATTTATTTTCAAAACATGTGAAAAATCGTGAATTCCAAGCCCTAATATTCATTGAAAATCTGATGAAAAGAAGATTAAGAGTAACTAACCAGGATTTTCGTCTGGTACAGAAAGAGCGCGGACGGAACCTTCATGACCCAAAAACTGCTGCAGCGCAATTTGTCGCTCAATATCCCATGATGTCACCTTTGCGTGACCAGATATGGAGATTAAATTATTCGGCCGATTTGCAACAAATGACACATCGATTACACAACTTCGATCGGCAGAAATTGCTAAAAGTAGCTCATGTTCGTATATAATTTTCGAACACAAGTAAGTCCTGGAAATGCTACGTGAATGTACTGTTCAAATCTCCTTACTGCATAATTCAAGCTTTTGTTTAGTTTTTTTCCTGAAACAACTTACTTTGCGTATGAAACATCTATTTCAAGTAGTACTTTTGAATAAAGCAACAAAGTAAAAACAGAGAAAAAAATGGAAAACAAACAGAAAAGAAACAAATTAAGAAAAGAAATACCATTCGGGTGGAACATGCACCATTAACTGCACCTAACCAAGTGAACTTACAATTTGTTATAGCTTCTTCTCGAACATCCAAAAAATGAATAAAGCCGTTTTCATCACCGATAGCCAACAAATGTTCAGCAGATCGGTCCTTGGCAAACTGGCAAACCACCCATGCACTCTGAAACTGACAAGGGTTTACATTCAATACAGAATGACAGAAAGATCAGCTTATTTCATTTTTACTACTTCTGATTTCAAAAGGAAAAAAAAATTTTTTTTGGAAGTGCTATGTGAAGTTAGTACCATAAATGTATAGTCAGGCACAACAAACCGAAAGAATTCGCTTCAAATTCAAAGCGTATAAGCATTGATACGATTTCCCCAGACAGTCAAATTTTAATGGGGAAGCCAAATCGTTCCATCCTCATGCAGTGATATTTGTTTTAAAAATCGATTCTTTAACATTTGATTATGTTAGTTCTCTTGCATCATTAAAAGTTCATAAGTTTCAAGCCTGCATAATATTTTGTTCCTAATTAAAAAAATGGAACTCGAATAATACAGTTCTTTCCTCAAGAATGGAAGTGGAATTATGTGGTCGATTGAGTAGAAGATTCGAAAAAGGACAAACTGAAAAGGAGAGTAAGCAGAGGAAAAAAATTACCGAGGAAATGAGGCATTTAGTTGAGGAATAATTTAGAAAATACGAATCCGGTACCACTCGAGATACCCTCTGACCCCAGTTCATGCGACGAGTACTCATCGATCCTTGACATTCGGTACACTTTCACCACCCACCTGACTAGTGCTGGATTAGTTTAAAATCCCCGTTCTAATTTTCAAATCTTGGGAGTTTCTGGCCACAATGCAAATCCAATATCTCACTGGACGACGAAAATAATTTGATTTCATTCCAGCAAGATGGGGTGGTGTATATTGCAAACGCTTTGCCAGGGACACCTCCAATGGTACCTTTAATTCGCACTATATCATTGTTTCCCAAAAGCGGTCTAATGGCTTGTAATGGACCAAAACATTTGAGGGAAAGAGAAAGATGTCCAAGTGAGACTTTGTGACAATGCAGAATATGAACTTTCTTAGGCCGAACGAGCATGCAGTTAAATTTAAACTTAAGATGGCTAAATTAAACTGTCTTCCTCTCTAAAACTTTTTGAATGTATTCATCTAATCTTGTCATTTCCGTTTTTTATCTGTAGGTTAGAGAAAGAGAAAGAGAGAGAGGGAGAGGGAGAGAGTTTCCATTTATTATCCTTCCACAACATTGCAATGTTCAAATGCACATCGTTCATATTGAATGCGCGAAAATGCATAAATTGGTAAAAATTAACCAAATATTCTATCGAAGGAGTGCGAAAGCGCTATAAAACAATATATTCTGTGCAAAAGTAACTGATTCGATACTAAATTAGTCAAAAAGTGATTCGTTTTCTCAATATGTACATGAGTCATTGATAACAGATTAATAGGGTTTCGATTTAATTCTATTCACTGATTGGCTTATCAGCAAAATATAGCTATTATCATAATCAGTAATATTTATCAGTAATAGTTACTATTTGTCACAACATTATGTAATTCAGACAGCAGTTGCATTTGGATCCTCTTAGTGGTGGTCTCATAACAGATTGTCTTATCTTTATAACACATTCGCTCAATTTCTCCCAACAAACCAACTTTGGATATAATCCATAACAGTACGACAGTTCTGTTCCAACTGTTTTCCAGATATGAGTAAGCTGCAAATTTAACTATTCACGATTCGCACTATAAAGATAGAAAAAAAAAAACAAAGTGGAACACTCATCTTCCATATTCTCATCGAAGCATTGCCTGTAAAAATCAGTGTTGTTCTCATGTAAAATTCGAAGAAATATTATATTTGGAAGCAAGCATACTTTTAATTCCTCATTCATGTAAGCTACATGAGAAGTTTCTTTCGCTCCAGAAAGTTTTGAAGTTTGTATTTATAAAATCATGATGTCTTTATGGGTTATCTGGTCAAAATTATGAAACGAGTATCCTCACAGACCAACTCTTATTTCCTATTTCGGCGTCAGTTTGGCTTTGCAGGGTTTGCATCATCATAAATTGTCACACTATGCTCCTCAAATTGTTCCTATGACCTAACGATGTTAGTGGTATAAACAAATGAAAAAATGATTGAATGAAATGGAATTAATTTCTGTTCTGCAAAAAAGATTTATGGTTGCTTTCCAGAGCTTAAAATAATAAAACTTTTTGTTTTATTTATGGAAATTGTTTTTGGTCCAGTCATTGTGAAACTATTCATAAATCATTACGTCCACGCATTCTTGTTTCGAGAGGATCTTTCAATCGTTTTCAAAAAATTATGTAACCTTTGTAATGTACGAATGACATCTACACTTTCTCATGGCGTTACAGAAACGTTTCTATTCATTGTAAAAATTTCATTTATAAGTGTGTCCGGTTTGCCACCGTTGAATCCAACAGAAGTGTTAATTATTTACAGTGGTCTTTGTGGTTTGCTATACGTTGAAGCAGACGATTTCGATTATGAAGCTCCATTCATGAATATCATGCCAACGCTTTCCTTGGTTATACTTACGTTGACATTACGTGTGAAAAGGACAGTCAAACTATTCACCTCTTGGACATTTCTTGTTTTTGATAAGCATAACTTGCTAACAAAAGTTGATCAGAAATCAAATTTACGCAAGAAAACTGAATCCTGAATTTAATTGAATTAATCAACGGTGACAGGGTGTAAATTAAAAAAAAGAGATTAACTAAAGTACTGGGGATAAATGAAGAGACTTGGCCAGAAGTCAAGTCCCCAACATGTCATTCCAGGTCGTCGATTCATCACTCTTTAAATAGCTTGCCCATTTAACTCTCTCGACATCAAATTGTAGAAATTATCTGAGAAGTTCCCTTTTATTTCTTGGTGTATATTTACATTTATCGCAATAGCATAATAATTTACAAACCTTTTGTGGATTATTTACGATTGCACATATTTTATACATATTACCCTTTACTTTGTCTATCTGGCGGTTATGGCTTGGATGTCCGTAACAATTTACATCATTGCTTCCCTCCACTTCTCTACCGTTGACTAATTCTGGTCCACACGGTCCTCAATCTCTCATTTCATTTCATTACACTTGATATTTTATTGATTAAGGCTGGATCCATTTGGTACCACGGATCTGAACGAGACAGTATGCAACAGGTTTGTGGTCATCTGAAGCTGTTTTAGATTTCTTTTTTGGAATGTGGAAACTTGTTTGGTGCCATATAATGTTGTTTGCCATTCTTTAGATGACAATTTTACTCATTGTCTTATCTTTTCCACAGACTTTATCTTTCCCACAATTTTTCAGTACAATTAATTGCAGAAATTTGACCTCACATATTTCTACAGTTATGGTACTTTGAAAGATGAAACGACGAAATGGGTAGATAAGAAAGTATTTTAAAGCCAAGGCCAAAATATTATCATTACTTATAGCGATTATGACAAACTCCGAAAAATGACTAGCAGGAATGCGGCATAAAAATTTTTATATCCGTAGTTTGAGAAGGTATCTGGTCAGTCTGATAATAATTAATACTTTAAACCATTCGCTTTTTCTCTTAGCAAAGATGGGAATCTGCTTTTCCTACCTGATCCATTGCAGGTTGCATTGCTGAGATTTTCGGGTTTGCTGTCGTTTATGGCTCCTGCCAGTTTTGATGTCGTTCCTGTAATACCATATTGCAGTGTTATATGCAGAATATTTAACTTGAATGAAATTGCAGCACTTTGAAATGGCTTCAAAAAAACTTCTCCCAAAAGTATAGATCTAAGACTATCCATTCACAGATATTCTCAGAGATTGTTACATTCTTAAATTTTCTGTGATTGAGCTAAATTCACTTCCAGGCCGAGACTACGAAGCATAGAATACCTGGAACTTCTAAGCACTGCAAAAATTTTCTCAGGAATTAATGAATGACGAAACTTTTAAGCGCCTTTAAACATCCAGTCAAACTTCACCGTAACAAAATGTACTGCGAAAACTTTCATCTTATTCTGGAATCTTTGTGAAACAATTTTGGATATAGCGGTTATGCATATTACCGGAAAGAAGTTGTTATTGATTTCTAATATCTCTAAAAATGCTTTCAGAGCTTCTCAAACTCATGAATTTGCATGCTTAATGTACCAACTGATATATTATTACCAAAATTATGTCCACTCTTAGCAACATGAATTTTACTTCCTAAAATTCAGACTCAAACTTAGTCGTATTCAAATTTTCGTAATCGCCTATATAAGATATACAGGATCGAGACCTACTGTTACTTTTCTATTTGATATTAATTGAAGTGGTGATCTAGTTTTCTTTATGGTTGGGCTAATTTTACAAAGCCAAACGAAGTCTCAGAATCAGCCACAACAATACGGTCCAGCAAAAGAAGGGAGTATCATAAATATCGAAGCCATATCAATGGGTAAAGATAAAGCGGAAAGAGGCAGATCAACTATATACACATCAGTTGCGCCTTCGATTTTCCAAGCAGAACCCGTGATACCATTTGTGACAATGCCAAACAATACTCCTTCCTTACGGGAGGTAATTATATATTATATATGGCATTCAAGTCATTATCAAGCATTATCTATCGACAATATCTCTCGTATCTTTGGAAAAATTATACGAACTGTTGCAGAAACATATTAATTAGATTTTAAAACATTTCTAAATTGTTGTCCCGGGCAGTATTTCAGAATACTTTTCTCAGTACAGCAAAATTGGCGACACGAAGCAAAAGGAAACAGAAAGGTGGTGGAAATGGCCTAATGATAATTGCTATTATGCATGTAATTATTCCTTGCATTGATATTGAAAATACAGCGCACCTGTCTTGCTTTTCTCCTCTCATTCTCGCTGACTGTCTTGATGTCTTATATTGCTAGCTGGTTAATTTAAAAAATCATATAACTTAAAGGAAAAGTATACTTCTAAACGTACTTCTCTTTCTATTATCTGAATAACATTACAGCTTCTTCTTGCATGTGGCTTGATAGACTTAGGTATGTTTCTCACTATTCGATTCAATCACTATGGTCATGTTTGGCCAGATAGTTATGCAAAGTTATCTGTTTCAGAATATCGGCTTTACCGCAACCAGGTAAATACTTTTTTTCTCTCTGAATATTTAGGGAAAAATGGTTTCATATCCAACAGAAGGTAACATTTATCAGTATTTAATAAGAAAAGAGGAAAATTAATCAGAAGAACAATGTGATTTACTTCAGTTTCAATCATTTCAGATGCTTTCTATCCGTGTCCTCTACTCACCTGTAACAATAGCTATTGGCTTAATGATATTTTTCCCGAAAAGCATTTATTTATTGATTATTTTCATTTCCAAAGTGTCATTTTATAGAGCAGCGATCGTTGATGGGGGCATTTCCTTTCTTGCTCTTACTTATGCTTGTATTACCGGTCATTTTTTTTTCAAAAAAAAAGAGTGAACTTTATGAAACGTCAAAGTTCAAATAAAACTAAAAGATACATTCATATGAGAAATCACTGTAAAGGCAGTGATTGGATGACTGAGGGTTCTCAGTGGACTTGAAGTCGATGAATGAGCCCTGGTTAGTTGCTATTGCAGGTTCACATGCATATGTTATATTGCACGGTATTTCAAAGATTGATATCGAGGACCGCAGTGATATCCTTTGTTATGCCATCAGGTACTTATGATATGCTCATACTGTAGCAGTTTCATCAAAACTTTCTACAATTAGTAAGTCTCAGAATTTCAAAGAAAACATTAATACACATTTCAAGGTCCTTCTAGGTGAAACAATTTCGGTCATTTTTATTTTCAGAGGTCCGCGTGAAAAAGCACCGCAAGCATTACGTGATCGGTGCTTGCTGGTTGCATATAAAATGTTTGGTGATCATTTATCGTTGCAATCCATAATTGCTATACTTGTAATCATCGTATGCATTATCAATTTTATTTATCTTTTTTGTGGAATGGATTCAAATGCAATGCAAGTACAAAAGAAAATTCAACTTCAGTCAAAAGCTCACAAAAAATTTTTTTAATTTCCCATCCAATTGAACTTCGACAAAAAACTGTTATTATGGGTTCAAAGTTTGAGAAATCGAACTTATGTTATTCAAAAGGATCGATGAAAATGAATAGAAAAGTGTGATACGAAAGATTGTCTTTCAATATGTAATAATATTTAGCATAAAATATCACATGTTTTACGTACCATATTGCTATTCAGTGAATCCAATTTGTTTCAATTCAATAAGGATTTAGTAATTTTTATGGTTGGGATACTCGGTTGCAGAACGTCCCCCCTCCCCCCCGTCCCCGCTTTAAGAGTTTAGATGTGGACAGGAGTGGGGTCGGGTATGAAGGGTTTCTTTAAGAACGTAGAAAGTAGTGGGATGTTTGTGCAACTAGTGTTGTTGTTACTGGTGACACTTTTGGTGTTTATTTTGCTTTACATTCGATACGTCAAACGTCATTCATGCGTGGACCAGAACATGGCAAAAAGGAAACGTCCGTCAATGTCAATACGAATGTGTTGCGTCGCTGGATCTGGTATGGTTTTGCTAATTGTTTTTATATCAAATTTTTTTAACAAATGTATACGAAGCATTTTGCAATTGCTTCTTCCCTTGACTGTAATGTTGTGATGAGGATATTTGATCCGTCTTTGTGCCATTCAATTTTCCAACAGAATTTCTAGCATAATGTAACTCACTTCTAATCTGGGAATTTTGAATTTAGTACATACTCTCTACTTTTCAGGTGGGCATACTGCTGAATTACTGACCCTAATGTCTGCCTTTAGACAACAGTTTAATAATCTCATATATATTGTTTCCGACACTGATAAGCTAAGCGAGCAAAAGGTAAATTATGTAGAAAGTCTCCATAAATTTTGACTTTCAGCAAGAGGAAGTATTCTAAAAGTAATTTGTTAAAAGTTTCGTATTTTGTGAATTTTCGTGAAACTTAGTGCAAGAAAAGATTCTTGGATTATCAACAGTAATTGATAACTTCAATTTTTTTGGGATAATCGAACTTGATTTAAGATAATCGAATTTGAGAAATCACAAGGCGCAGGAAACTTCCGGATAGAACAAATAAGTAGAAGCCGGGAAGTAAAACAAAGCTACATTACCTCAATATTCACAACAATTTGGGCCTGCATTGAAACCTTGTTTTTGGTGTGGCGAATAAGGTAATCATTTTATTTTTCACATAGAAGATAATATTTCAAAAAAGTGAAAAGGGTGGAATGATTGTTGAAATGGTAGGTTACAATTCTTCCGACGTTAGCATTTCGAATTGGAAAACTTGAAATCCGGATCAGGACTTCCAGTTAAACCTGAGAGTTTGAGGAACTGTTATGCTCGCTACGTTGTCAACTATAAATTATAAAAACACTCAAAAATCTTATTTCTTCGTTAAATGGTCTTTAATTTGAAGTTTGAAGTTATTCTTCGAAATATGAAAAAAATATCATTATTTTCGAAATTTTAGCTAAATGCATTGCATTTTTTTCCAGGCCTGATGCAGTGATCTGCAATGGACCAGGTGTTTGCTTACCAGTTTGTTTTGCTGTAGCGTTGTTTGATTTGCTACGACTTCGTGATGTGCAGTTGTTTTATGTTGAAAGTTTATGTCGGGTTAAAAAGTTATCATTAACCGGACAGATTTTATATGAATCACGCATTACTGACATTTTTTTTGTACACTGGGAAGATCTTATTCAGCGTTATCCACGTGTTGTTCTGATACCGTGCACTAAGTAGGATCAGTGGATTATGGATTCCAAATTTGCAATATCGTTATAAGTGATTCTGGTGGAAGATGTGAAATGATAAATGATAAAAGATGATGTGATGATAAAATCATGGCTGTGAGATGATAAAATCCCGATTTCGAGCTTCTAGTCTTAAAAGCCTTTTGACACTTTGGTTCCTAAGATTTCCAGGTAGTAGATTTTAATGTGAAATTAGTACGTTAGTATTAGCGATTTTTTCCACTTATGTTTGAAGAATAAAGGAATTTCCTTGGAGTATTGTCTAACACTTTATTTTTCAGTTAGTTTTTGCAAATTTTTGCAAAAAATGAAAGTAAAATGGAAATTTTCACAAATTTTTGATGAATTTAAGAGCATTTTTCAGCTAGCAAAATTGTTTTGCTCTACGAATTCCGTTTTTTGTTTTTTAGAAATCTTTGTTTCTTTATTTCTCAGGTAAATGATTCATTACACAAAATAGATATTTCGATACCTAAAGTGATGAATCATTTATCCAAATCCAACTCTTCCAATTTCTTAACAATTTTAATTGCAATGTTTAGATGTTGCAGACAAAAACCTTTTGATGTAAATTCAATAGAAATCAATGCTGTAAACAAATCTTTATTGTAAACCGATTTGTTAATCAAGCTTACATGCAATTGTTGGAATGTCGTGAGGAACTTATGTGCGAATGTCGAAATTTTATAAAGAATTTCTAATCTGACAGTTAAACCAATGCGTCAGCAATGTTAAACCACTCCCACTATAAAAGGAGCCAGGATTAGTCATCCTGGAGATCGGTAACCAAATCAGAAAGCTTAAGCAGTCACCCAATCTGACAGCTCGCTCAATCACTCAGTCTGGCAGCTCGGGTAAGCACCCAAGACCACAAATAGCAGGATACTCAATTTGACAACAGTTCAACGGCAGAAAAACAGCAATATAACAACTCAACAGCACGAGCGACAAAACCATTTGCTGTCCTTCAATTCTTATTTTTCATTTCGTCCCTATTATTGTTTCAGTGCGATATTGTACCATATAAGACCGGTAAAGGTTACTATCAATGCGGTGGGGTTACAAAAACAAAAAATAAACTACAAAGTCTTTCCCTGCCACCTCAAATGCTGATACTGCAGTCAAAAGTGATTGTCATTTTTTTCTTAATGATGTTTAGTGAACAGGACTTGATTACTCTGAAACTCCCCACTTCTCCAACCCTTCTACATAAAACTTCATCCAGTGAATTTTGAGATGTCTGTTGGTATATATTGTACGGAAATAACGAGAGATGGACTCTTTGTCAGGATCAATGTGAGGATATACGAAAACTTTTTAGTTTAAAAATTTATTAATTTCTTATGAGAATAGGGAGGAAAGTTTGATCTTCAGAAATCAAGGAATTAACCATTTTTTTGTACTGACTGCCACGTATGCAAAGATGTTATTATCCGACTTTTTCCCACCTGCATTCATTGTTAATTTATCAAGAAATGCATTATTTATCAAAAAACACCCTTTAAGAGAAATAATCGTTTTTTATCACAAAATAAGGAAAACAACACTTTAAGATAAATTTGAAATAGAAAGACTTGGAAAATTGGTCTGTAAATTTGATTCGTACCGTCAATTCAGTCGCCATCCGGGCTTTTTAGAATAGTTACATTTTATCATTAATTAAATTCAAATATGGAAAGTCGCCGACCATAGGCGCTGTTTTAAATGAGAAATGCATTATTAACTGTAATAGAAATTTTATGGTAACATTTATTTATTCATCTCTTAAATTTGGAAACAAATCTGCAATAAATTTGTGATAATAGGTCAAATATAGTTCAGAACTCGGATGGCGTTGATGGTTTAATTTGTTGAAATACATTTAACATTCCAATATTTTGTTCGCAATTTATGATTCATATAACAAAGTACACGTTTCGAAACATTCAAATCATTCCGCTTAGTATTCGCCCCTTTGGACGTCATTTTAAATACTAAGCGAAATGATTTGAATATTCACGTTCATGATTCAAAACATTCATGGTCAAGTCGGTGTATTTGGTACTATCAGTTCAAACAGTACCAAGTAATCCGATACTCCGATTCGGCCGTGAATATTTTAGAGAACACTGGGAAATCTGTTATCCATTGCATCATCTGTGGTGTCTAGTTCGATACATTTTGATGCTGCGCGCGGATCGCTTCCATTTCCAGAGCTTTGCTTCGCAATAACTTGATGAAACACGCAGAAATGCTAACATGAAAGTTATAATGGTGCCGCAATCATTTGTAAGTTGATTTTGCCCTTAATAAGCTGAAACTGAGTTTTTAAATTAATAATTATAATTTCTGATACTTAGAATTCTTCAAAGTAAGCGGTGATGATTCCCCGACTGGTAGGCCTGATTTCGCCCCCATTATGGCTCAATAAAAGGCCTCCTCAATGCGACTGAGTCCGAATTTCAAAACATCATAATAACGTTATCTTTAAAAAGGATTCGTTGGTAGCGAGCGGTACATATAGTGCTAGGCTATATTTGCGAGTTTGAAGGCATACCGATGAACAATGGCAATTTAGTCATCATATAGGTAAAACGCAGTAACAGAAGGGTTCTTAACAAGATTCCGATTCTGGGATATTTAGATGACTTCTCCCGTATAGAATTGATGAATCTTTACAAATCAGAAACCACAGCTTCATTATGCAGCAAAAAAGCAAAGGGAAAAGTTTCACTAGGCGCTTTATCCTCTCCCTTCACTTATGACTTCACTTATGAAGTCTTTTCGTCACGGAGATGAAAAAAGAATACTCACTCATCACCTAGTATCAGGAAGTATGGGCACTGTAAAATTCGCTTGAAGAAAAATCAGAAAAGATGATTACTACCGGAAATTAATTGGAAATAGATAAATAGCGAAGTGACGTCGCTTATGATGATCAACAGAAGATAATCTTACTATGAAGCGGTAAAACAGGTAAGGAAATCTGTGCTTCATGTTATGAAACATAAATGAAACTAAACCATAGATCAGACTATTACGCGTGCGAAAACTGGTCCTGGAATCAGTTTTCCACGCATTGTAATTTGTCTTTAAACTGGTCCCTCTTCATGTGTATGTGCCTTAAACCCTTATCTTTTCGCCCATTAAAAACATTAAGATTTCTATCAGACACCAAATAACAAGCAAGGACAAACGAAATCTTCCGACTTCTTGAATTATATTTTGAACTTGCATTTCTCGTTTAACAATATGTACTTATTTTCATGAGATCAACTGAAGAGCTTTTATGATGAAAATGGATGTTGGATATATTATTTCCTTTAGCTTAATATTGGGCAAGAACTTTGTAGTAAAAGTTTTCGTCCAGTTGTTATGAGGAGGATAGATGTGACATATATTTAGGCAGTAGAATTATTGTTCAACAGGATGTTTATATCCTTTCTTGAGGTAGGTTATACCAAGATATAATTACCGGTGAAACAGCCCTCGAAGCACAGGTAACCCTCTCAACTCGAAATATGCATTACTGCTGTACGCTAACATAGGGAAAAATAGAAAACATATAGACAATCGAACATAGAAACAAATAAATCTGACGAACATCCAACCGAAGCAAAGTTCTTACAGTGATTTGGTTCACTTAGACGTTTACGTTCAGAAAATAGCCTCACATCCAACAAGTCTCCGGCGATACCTTACATTTATGCAGATTTCATTTTTAATCCTATACTCACACTCTTAAAAATAAGAACTACAGTACTGAGTAACTGTCTTATCTGCTGAAACTATCATCAGATATTATGAATCCCATAAGCACTTTGCTACATATTTCTGATAATTCCAAGCAAGTATTACGCAAGACTGCTGAATTGGTGAAAAAAAGAACTGTTTTAAACTTTATTTTAAAAAAGCTCCTAGACTGATACAGATAAAACAAGAAACCAGTAGTGATGAATGAACCGAGCATAAGTACGACCATGTTAGTGGAAATATAACGTCATAAGACAGATATAACGTACAGAACACAACAATAACAGAATCAGTAATAGGACTGAAGAAGAGACCTGCATTTAAAAACATCTAAAAAAACCAGAACGAGAGAAAATAAACATGAAGGCGGATAGGTAGACTACTTTTATTGAATTTCAAGGACGCAGCTGTAATAAATGGGAATCAGAAAGAAAGAAAAGATAAGGATAAGAAAGGCTAGAAAAATTGACAAAGAGGCGATTATCATCATCAGACATCAGAATTTCACGTCAACATTTCCCATATTCCTTTTAAAACAACTCCATATAACACAGGAAATCGTAAACCGTGTAGAGCTAATAAATACAAGCTATCTTCTACTCCATTTCGTCAGGAATCTCTAAAGCATTTACTTTTTTTGAAAGTGCCTCGGAAATTAGAGTAGAAATCAAGGTCTAAAAATTGAAGTTAAATTGTTAAACAAACATCGACCATTGATTGTGCAAAAAAGTACTGAATATCCAAAGTAACTGTGGAGGCCACTTCCGCGAAAAAAGGAAAAATAAGCTTCCGCGAAAACATTGTAGTATATATCTTTGCCATTTATCCCGTACTACAATCGATACCAGTATCAATCACATGAGAATTTTAAAATATGCCATAAAGAAGTTTGATATCAAACACAGAACTGCAGAATAACCATTGATTTAGCAACTTTACAGAAACAGGAAACTTCACAGAAAGTGAGCAAATGGAGTTATAGTGGCGACCGTGGTCCGCCTATATGCGCTAAAATGAAGTACATCAGTGCATCCAATCTTCGTCCTTTTCAAATTATTTTTAGAGTCCAAAATACTTAATTTCAGTTTATTTAAGCGATTCGTACAAATTCAAGTCTGTAAGTATACCATCGTGCAGCTCTGGAAGATCTTCAGCAATAACCTGAAAAAATGATCTAATATGATGCAAAATTAAACATGGAATCACAAGGAGGGTCATCGTCTCCTGTTTTAAGACTCGATCATGACAATAACTTTATCCAAATGAGCGGATATTTCTATCATTATATCTATTTAATTAGTTATATAAGTCTTATACATATAATCATATAAATTAATCATACGCCCACTTAATTTATATATTTAATTAGTTATATAAGTACCATACAAATATTAATTATAATTTGACTAATTATATGAGCATTATATCTGTTTAATTATATAACCAAAAATTACCCATGTCATATATATCAGAAATGAACTGAAATTCACAAATTACTGGGAAATTAAGAATCCCATGAAACAAAGCTGTTGCACAACACCAATAATTCAAAAATATTCAAAAATCCTGCACTGGATTTAGTTGGATAGGCTGCTCAATTCTCATTCAAATGTAGGATTGAAAGCAGCACTGTTCAAAAATTAGTATTTCAACTGATATTTGCATTCTCTTCTAGTGGAATTAAAATATAATAACATTATCAATCAATACTTACACCTTCAACAGAGTTCACTTCACTCTGCTTTAGAAGATAGTCTTTGATGTTTCCGAACACTGCTGTCGCCTCTTCATTCTGTGAAGAAACTTCTTTTTCATCAATATATGATTCAAGCATCCAAGTTAGATGATCGTTACCAAACATGGGTACTAGATTCCTATAAGAAATAGTAGGTAAAAATAGTGTTACGGTTATTCAAACAACTGGAAACAAAAAGTCACAAAGACTATAAAAAATGTCATAACTAGTTGGGAAAACTCAACATCATATATAATACTTGCGCTTCTATCCTTAATGTCCCCACATATTTGTTGAAAAACGAAATATAGAATAAATATATACATTATAGATGACAACTTCTGATGAACAACAGATTCTGAAGATTCATAGCCAGAATATTGACATAATAAAAGAAACTTCATTTTCCATAAAAATATTTAGCCATCGCAAAAACTAACTCTTCCGTGCACCAAACTGATTTTTCTGGTAATCCTTTCGAAAGATGGTCATTTTCGGCGTAATGCTGCCTGAGCTTCTGTAACGAAACCAAGTCATCCCTACCACACACGAAGCATCTTACACTGTAGTTTTCTTTGCGTATGTAATTAATCATTCTCACCCGTTCATAAACATCCAGTCTCTCTTTTTCAATGATTCCAAGGACATCAAAGTGGTGAACATTCTGCAAATGAATAATAGTATAACTAAATCATTTTTTCTGCACATCCATTAAAAAAATGCACTAGTAATAACGTCAACAAAAAGAAGCACATATGAATTCAATATGCAATATTTTTGACCTCTCCAGTTCAAAAACTTTCCGAAAAGAAGCTTTACAACTCTGCAATTTTGATTTTTGAAATTATCCACTGAAGGTAGAGTCACTAAGTAAACGAGCTAAATTTACTTTCATATGTTCAAGTAACGGAGCAGCGTGATCCTCAGTTTCTTCACAAAACAAGCAAACTACACGAGTCTGCTCTACATCGATATTATCTTCTTGCCATTCTTGCCAGGACTCCCTATTTACAACAATGTTAGTTGACTGCACTTTACTTACAAACGTTTTAAAAAGTACTGAATAATCAATTTGAGGTACTGAGAAAATTTATTTCCCAATTTCGATGTGTATGACAAAAATAAAAAAAAAATTGACGTGGTTTGATGAAATCTTTGGGACACTACCATATCAAGAAATGGAAAGTGAAGAATTGCGGGACGGTATGCTAATTCAAAAAGAAATTGAGAGGTTCAACTTTAACTGAAATTTAACTTTGGCCATAATGCATACTGTTTTGCACTTCAGAGGACACAAGTATGAAGAACATGTCAGAAAGAAACACTAAACAAAGGAAGAAAAGGCTAACTCTTCTTCTTCTTCATCGGAATCTACAAAAGTTGGCATTGTATCTTCAAAATCTTCTTTCAGTACATCTAGCCAACGCTTTCCCAACTCCTAAAAAAAGACTTTTAGGTACGCAATGAGTTATAATTTAGATCAGATATGAAAATAAATGAATAAATAAAGGAATAAATAAATGAATTTAAGCAAGACATAAGAAAGTTCTAAGGGAACAAAAAATGTTCAAACACTGTAACACTGTAATAGGCAACAGTTCCGATACAGAAATTGGCATTAAACAATAAAAATCTCAGAACAGCTGCACTGATGAGTAACCCAGATATCTTCGTAAACCTGATAAATTCAGTATAAGGGGAAAAAAAAAACGATATTTACCAAGTAGTTGATAATGTAGAATTTGTCATAGTAATTGTTTTTTGGATTTACTTCCTTATGGTTTCGTTTACGCATATGATCCATTAATGTGTTACGGTCGCTGAATTTTTTTTCACAATAAATGCATTCATTGCTGCAAAAGCAAACTTAAGTTAAACGATAGAGATAAAATGCAGTGAAGAATCAGTCATAAAAAGCAAAGTACTTCTATATTATTACTTTGTATAAGGAACACTATGAGTGCGTTGGGTTAAATTTAAAAATGACAACCTGAGAAGTTTCGACTTCAGACACTCAATGTATTCAGTGACAAAAACTGCAATGATACATAATATTAATTATAAAGAGATTAGACAATAAATGAGATCGTTGGTAAGACATCCAGGAAGGATGAATTTAATGAATTTGTAATCGCCAGAAACAACTTGTCATATTCTACTTTAAGGAAAAAGAATCACCTAAGTTGTCCGGCGAGCCAAGATTTAAATGATGGATCATATAGAGGTGGTGAATTATTTTGGACCGATTACCACGTGCCGTATATCGACAAAAAATACACTGCTGAATGAAATTCGTATCCTCTCGCTCACGCTGCTGACATGCTAACGCCTACAATTCCAAAAAATCTGTACAAGAAACTAAAAAGTTTCATTCTTCCAAAAGCTACCTCGAAAGCTACTCAAATAGATAATGCTCTTCATTAAGTGTTCAGGATAAATCATAAAAAATGATGGCATACACCTGCTACACAATAATCTATTATTCTGAATGTTCTGCAGAAAAAACAAATTAAAACCAATAGCAAGTGTTTTACACGTCTGTTAAATATATACTGCGTTTAATAATATACTTCTTCCAGACGTCTCATAGCAAGTTTTTGACGTAAAGCATAATCCTCCGGTAGATTCTCGCCCATTTCATAGATATAATCTGTTTTTCCATAAAACTCATCATTTCTAGCAGGAATTTTTCTCGGAAAAATGGTATCAATACTTTCCTTCGCAAAACGCTGTCTCCAGTATTCCACATATCTTAATAAATGAAAATGATAGCCAGTAAGTATAAGTGAACAACATAACTAAACATTTGACAAGCAGTAAAGTAAATCGATCAGAAAGAAAAGCAATCAATTCCAAATTTCGAACCACAAACTTCAGAAAATTTGTTCAGGTTTCAAAATAAATAATAAACAATTCGGTTTCCAGCACCAACCTCTTCGGATCAACAATCAAGTCGATTTCAACAATAACAATATGATGCTCATTTAGTAGATGCCTGCAAAATATATTCCGTTAGAAGTGTTTCATAAATCTTCCGCTCATGAAAACCAAATACGGGAAAAAAAGAATGAAAAACCGACTCTGAAAACTGCGTGAGGTGCTCCGGAAGGTCGAAGAACTGCAAACAGCTCAAACACATCGTTGGACCACCCCATTTTGGACTGCAAAAGTGTTTTCAATAAGTTTTGCTTGAAAAACGAACCACTAGTTACGGTTGTTCTGCCATAGGCTTGTTATACCGCTGTGGCAAAACTTCTGAGGCGAACTCTACTCTCCCAACAAGATTTACATTTTATGGCTTCTAAAATACTTTGGTTCGATACCAGTCAATAACAGTTATTATTACTAAACACCAAATATCAAATAAAATTGTGAAAAAACAAGTGTAATGTGAATGGGCTCTTGAAATGTGAAGAATCATTAATAACATTCTACCTGTACCCCACCGCTGGGACAGTACCCGAAAGAGTGCGTATGCGTCCCCGTGGAATGGTCAGCGAAAGTTTTTTTGGTCCTCTCAAAGTGTCGTTATCATCGGAATCACTGAACGGCTCTTCTAAATCAACTGAAAAATATACAATAATTTAATGCTAATTATTACAAATTCAAGAATGATTCTTGTGACAGTATTTTTGCAATAAATTTTGCACTTCAAAACAAGGACATACTTTCATCGTCATAAACAAATCCGTCTGATGTCATCGAATTTGTTGGTTGTTGCGCATTTCGAGTTTTGTCCACAGCTCAAACATTTTGAATTTAATACACATTATAAAAATCGAAAAGATGTTAGGCAGAGGAAAAAAATATATAACTGAAATAGTTTTTATAAGTTCTATCGTCTTATTCCACTTCTATCTGAGGGTATTCACTCAATTTTTCGGCCATCTGGTTTTTTACGAGTTTTACTTCAGCTTTTCCAGGTTCCATATTAACAAGTGAATCTGTTGCTTTGTTTTGCAGTCCTCGTCGGGATCTACACTTTTGCATCCATCTTATGACATTTATTTAAACAACTTACAAGCACTGGATAAACATCGATGGATTTCTTCTACTGTTTCAAATACTCCTCCGAAACGTTTAAAAGATAGAAAAAAAAACATTTCTAACCCTTCCTTCGCTCTACCTGGTTGTATTTTGATTCTATCTACTCGTTATTGAGTTTTTTATGTAGAGAACTTAGCATGGCTCCAACCAATTGAAACATTATGAGTGTCACGTAAAAAAAAAAAAAATCTATGAAATATAAGCTACTAACAGTTATAACGTCGTTTTGCTTGCATCGTTTGATATCCACCATCAGCTTTCTTCGTTACATTCGTTGATTTTGAACGCGGCTTGCTCTCCTTATTCGAATTTTTGCTGCAAGGTTCCGCCTTACTTCCTGTTGTATTCCGTCGATTATCTCCTTTCTATAACATGATTCTGTCGAATAATTCTAAAACCGTACCTAATTTAAAATTAATATTTGTAGGAATAATTCACGAATGGTGATATATTATCACTGAGGTTTGTTAGCTCTCGATCTTTGGCGCAATACCATAGCATAACTAAAGGAGATACATTTTTTATCGCCAATTTTAAATCAGCAACGCCGTCTGCTTCATTGATGGATTCCTTCGATGTAATGCCATTTATTAATTTTCCCTGAATGTTGCGATCAATTTCTTTCTTGACATTCTTCGGGACATTCTCCTTTTCTCTGTCTGAATTCCCGTTTCGAACTGTATCACCATCTCCGCCCAATGCTGTAGCCATATTTTTAGCCTAAAAAGATGTGAATTTGTCCAGACTACTCCGTATCATTTCTAAGCTTGCATGTTTCTTCGTCAAAAAATAACATAATGATGTAAATATAACAGAGATATTCGCGCTAAGATATATCGTATACCATTCGCTTCCAAATTGTTAGAAAGAAATCGCGTCTGAGCTTTACGGTGAAAAACAAAGAAAAAAAGTTAAGTTTCATGAATCGTGATCATTAAACAAGAAAAATAATAAGCAAAGCTTTCGATGAAATGTATCTCTAAAATCGAAAAAAGGTTCTGCGGAAACACTAATCTCAAAAGAGCTTGAGAAACCTCAAATTATCAACTGTAAAACCGATATTTTACAGTACTGAAATGATTTCATTTATCACGAAACGTATCCCAGGAGTAGCGATAACCTTTAATTGAACCAAGGACAGTGTAGAATCGGAGACACTACAGTAATCGATACGATGTGAACTGGGATGAAATCGAAGTCAAGTTTGGAAAGACAGAGACAAGTAACCAGAAACCAGAATGGAACAACCAATAAACCAAGAAAAGGTAACACGCCACGCAGATCACGTCCGGCTCCTACCGCCGTCAGTGATCTTTATTTACTTCCGTGCAACATAACACAGCATTGCAATGTGTCGAGACAATGCTCAAATAATGCAGCATAACAGCCCGATCACGCGTACTTCATCTTACGAGTACTGCGTGCATATTTACCATCCACTTACTGTCTGGTATCGTTTTTACTTTGTCTAAATAGTCTGTTTGAATAAGCCATCAGAAATATCAAAAACAAATCACTCGATAATATCTTCGTTTTCCATACAATTCACTTTACTCTGTTTACTCCATGTGGATGCGATAAAAAGTTTATTGCGCCTAAGTGACCATCCACATTTCGGAATACATAGCTATTCATGCACTAATATATATATATAAGTCCAGAGAGTAATCTATTGGGAATGGACGAGAGTGGTGATCTTTAAAAGTTATGTGAACGAGAAGTAGCAGCAGCAGCAGCAGCAGCACTTGTGGAGTTGAAGGCAGGGTGATCATATCAGGAGGGATAACGGGTAGAGTGGTATCAGGAAAGATAAGGGAAAGAGGGCAAGGGAGAAGGAAATGGCAGTGATCAGTGCTTGCTTCCCTCTCTTCTCACTTTAATCTCATTCCAGAAGTTTATTGTTCACACTCAGAAATCGCAGAGCTGATCGATTCTCAGTTCGTCTCATCTCTCCTAACCTATTTGGTTTCATTGACTTTTATTTCCCTTTCCTAGACAGAAATTGAGGAGAGAAGTCTTCATCTAACTTAAATGGTATCGCAGTGTTAATTCTCAGATGGTCGCATAAAGTTTCTCAGCGAAAATCATTGGTCAGTTATTTAATTAACAGACCATTCCGGATACATTCGTGAACCAGAAATGACTTGTTTTTTTATCTTCTCTAGATAATCTTCATCTTTGTATCAATAGTATGGAATAGTTGAGGTTGACAGATTGGAATGCATTTATGAAAATTTGAAGGAAAAATTCCTTGGCAAAGTTCATCACTTAGATAACTGTTAACTGAGAGTTCACTATCTGTTCGTGCTAGAATAAAGCAATGATATGGCAAGATTCAATGAATGATAACTGAACAGCAAACTTATAAGGAATAATGGGGTCTAACTTAACATTATCGACAAATTGGAAGGATTCTGAAGTGAAGTCTTTAAGAACAAATTACAGAATGGACAATGAATGAAGGGTAGTCTACTTCCGGTAAATCTGTTGAGCGGTTATTACTGAGAGTTGAATTCTTCTAGCGAGAACCTTTAACGACTTCTTATTTTAAAGTACGGTTTCATATAATGCCATTATAATGAAATGGAAATTTCGGTGCGGTGAAAACTTTTTTTTCGATGAAATTTCGGTTTCCTTCTACGATCTGACTCAATGCATATTGCTTGTACTTCACCAATTATAAAATTCAAAGCAAATTTATTAACTATTCTAAGCATACAAAAGATCTTCCCATATTTTCACTGATAAAAGGTATGTCGTCACCATTTCTTGGTCTCTTTTTGAAAAAAATTAAGACTTTGCTAACTTCGGAATCTCTTTCCTTTTTGAAAAACTCGTGTTCATTTATCTTTGTAACAAACTAAGCATTTGCATAATCCTATTGCAGCCATTTTAGGAAATAATGAAATTGTGAAGTGAATTTACTGACGCTAACAAATCGATATTTGGAGTATCTATCAGTGATGGAAGGGAAGGGCTGTCAACAGCATGCATTACTGTAAGCATTAAGAAAATCATTCATTTCCATTGAAATTTCTTCATATGTTGACTGTAAAACTTTTGAAGAAGCTGTTACCATCATTGCTTCAGGAAGATAACCGAAAGTGAAACCAGAATAAGACACAATTCCCTATATCATTGAGTTATGAAAATAGTGCATTCGGGATCTTTTCTATCTTTCGTTATCACTGCTTTCACTTTCGGAAATGTATTATGCAGGAACGTCAAATGCTTCTTTATTTTCGTCTTCGGTTTAGCAGCAATACTTATTAGCCATTGCTTTTTTCCCTCTCTCAGTAAAATGACATTCCTGTCTAAAATTTCGTTTTAGTGTTTGCTGTAGCACGATCATAATGGAAGCTTCTCTTTTCTCTCGTAAAATCTCGTCCACATTCTCATCCATTTGTAAAATATCAATTATCTGCCTTCAGTAATTCTTCGTAACGCCCATATCATCTTTCGGAATGATTTTTTTTATTTAGAACGTTCGCACGATCCGTCAAAAGTGTGAAGTTATGTCTTGCAAACAATTATTGCACTAAGGTATTCATCTGATTTCATTGTAAAAGAAGTTATCATTTAATCGAACTTTAATAGTTTAAAGTAATCGCCTAGTTAAGTGTCTAGTTAAGGAACAAAATATCATAAATTACTTGGATCTTTTTAATATGGCTTCCTACCTGAAGAAGGTGTTTGTGATAGAACCGGAAATGTTTTTTTTTTGAATGATTAACAAATCCTTTTCATGAATTCTAAGTCTAATCACTTAAGTTTCGTATGTTTAGTCTCAAAAGTTTTTTTTATTATACCTGTAACAATCATAACTTATATAAATTTCGTGCTAAAATGTACTTATGAGTTAAGGCTGAGATTGAGATAATTGAGCACACAATAATCAGCGCCTCCATACTCTACTGTCACGCCATCTTCCTTTCATGTTACTCTTCAGCTTCTATTAAAAACGTGCTTAGTATGCATTATTTTTTCACTGCATTGTTAAGCATGAACACAATTTTAAAGTTGATTCATTTGTTTTATTCTTGTGATACTATGAGAAATAATTAAGAGAAAGGATAGTATAGAAGAGATGTTTGTGCTACAAATTTGACCGATATCAGTCTTCGGAGGTGCCATAAAAGTTACAATAGAAAGGATGGCTTCGGAAGATTTTAATGCTGTGCCCATCTCACCATTTTGTGCCACAGTTTAGGAACTATCCTTGTGAAGAACAACGTTGAAACTTCTTTTTCATTTTTCTGTGTTCTTTGGAATGAATCTACATGATGATTGCGAATCATTTTTTCCAGAAAAATGAAAGATTCGATCATATTTTCCTCACACAATTCAAAAACAATTTTGTAAATGTAAATATCTTCGAGAGAAGAAATGCAAGAGTGAGGAGCAAAGGGATAGTTCAGAATTCAACAGCGCTTTCGAATTTCTGCTTTCTTGCTCGGACGAGAACGGAAAAATTAAACACCGTACTGCTAATTAAAGTTATCTAGTTGCAACAGGAAATGTAATCGAACCTTAAGTCTCCAATCCGTTCGTAACAATACATTCTGGATTATTAAAGTGTCACTCATTCGTACTTCAGATCTCAGGAAAGCAGCTATTGCTCATCAAGTTCGTAATTTAACTACTTTTTTATTTTTGTTTTATGATTTTCCTATCCAGCCATTGTTGCTTGATACTTCTGTCTCACGTATCTATCAGCCAGATACTGTATCATTCTCAACCCAAAAAATTTATTTACTTTGAGGAACTTTTATTTGGCGAACATAGCAAAGCTGTTTGTAAAAACCAAAGGTTTTCATTCTCACATTTCTGACACATTTATCCAAGTCAAACTTCATTTTATCATTTAAAAACTGCCACGTTTGACTTCTTGTCACTTCCTGACAAAAACAGTACAAAAAAATCTCAAAACCTTTCAAATGCTTCCAAACAAAAGTGTATTGGCTTGGACGGTATTCATGCCTTAAAGGAAGGATTTATCACCCTAAGAAGCCACAAGGTCATGTTGTAGACAATGTAATTTATGAAAATAAGTAGCACTTAATGATTACTATCATTCAGAGCTAAGATTATGAAAACAATTGCACAACAATACTAGGCTCAGTTACTGCCGAGTTACTTTGTGAGAAATGGATGAAAATATGACGATCTTTTAAATATAATGATTTGTCTACAAGCTGCGTACTTATGGCTTGCTTCTAAATATGGACGATGTCGTATACTCTGAAACTGTCGTTATACTTAACAAAAAGTGAATAAGTGTTATCAGAGAATGCCTTTCAAAATGCTTCTTCCACATTGGTTTGCGTTCAAAGCATTATGGTATTCGGTATGGAACACTTTTCAGCTCTTCAATTTATATATTTTGTGAAATTTTAAAAAGAGTACGCGAAAGTGATCATTTCTGTTTACAAATAACAGTTTTTTTTAATTGAAAACTACCATTTTTTTTCGTTCATTGGTTTATCTAACGGAGGAAAAATTCGTATTGTCACCATTTATGTTTGGTGATGTTCATCTTCGAAATGAAAATAATATATCTGCTTCTGTTTGTTCTGGTCTCTCCGCCAGAACTTTCACGACCATTCCCCCAATTGCGCTATCCATCACTTTTTTTTTCCTATCTTCGCATGTTCCATTGCTTATGTTACGCCTCTCTTGAAGCATTTAAAATTTAAAAGATGAACCCGTCCCATAAATTAATTTTTGATGAAATCAAAAATATTGGAAGCTCTCTCCGGACCACGCTGATACGATTTCGGAACATCGCTATTATCTTCACGTTTCGTTAAATGAAGAATATGCAAATCTAACGCAAGCACTCTTTCGAATTCCTTCGGACACATCTTGAGAATATTAAAAATTTTCGCACGCTGTTCTTGCTATTATTTAAAACCAGTGGGAATTCGTTCGTTTTATTCCATCCATTTCAGTACCAATCATAATTCGTGTTGCTATCCAGCGCTGTAGTTTTTACAGCTATTATTACAGTAAGTTGAATAGATTGTTTGTTCTTCACTGATATTACAAAGTTAAACAGAAAGAAGTCATGTCGGTATTTTTTGTCACTAAAACATGTGCAATGAATTCGATTTCGAATACTTTACTTTCAACATTTTCACTGTTCAATAAGTGTTCTGTAAATTGTGCACAAAAATCTCTCCAACTTCCCTCCATTTCACATGTCAATCGACCGGTTCGAAACCAGTCATTTTTCCCACTCAAATGATGTAAAGCGGTGTAAGCTATGTAAAAAAAAAAGGTTTGGAGTTTCATTCGGGATTTTCCTACCTTCCCAAATTATTCCAGAACGGTGCGGAATTTACCGATCCTTTTTCAGCAGTAATAGCATGAATTTCAATTTCCTTGAGATTTTGCATTTTCCGGGTTTCATTGTTTATGATGTTGTACCCGATGCTCTTCATCCTAGAAAAAGGAGTCGATCCTAATTATTTAAAGCATGTGACTGAGAAGACTGTCACTGGAAAGTTTCGGTTTAGTTTAAGAGGCATTCAATTGATTTTTTTCAATGAAAAGGGATCTTAGGAGCTCTCATTCCATAGTCATTACCTGCAACTGCAAACTTTCTGCAGTTTTCCTTGCACTGATTATAAAAACCACCATTTCTTTTGGTCATATATTTACATGGATATGTGTCATCTTCATTTTCCACAAGATCTGAAGGGGTATATCTAATGTCCAATAGTGGTTGTATAAATGAAACTTCGGTTTGATTGAGAAGCCTTAACAGAGTGCATTAATATAAACAATAAGATCATAGCAACACAGCATGATTATTTGTCACTGAAGTAACCAAAAAATTGACGACAGTGAAATGCAATTGAAATTTTCCTAACAGTTTTGCAGTAATAAAGGTGGTCATCAATTCATTGGATCGCTTTTTTGATCTTTCTGTAAAAATGCTCTCTTGACCCTTCATTCTGCTCAGAATGTACGCTAGGGGATTTCTCTTTTGGATATTATCTACAGGTAGATTTCCACACAGATTATCAAACGATAGCTTAACTCACCACGAAATTGTTTAACATTAACACAATTTCGTCAATTTCTGATCTCCAAAACAAGTCACTTTGTAAACTAATTTTTCATAGCATTCTGCTTCGTCTTCTTTTGCTAGTTCAACCTGCTAGATTGACCACCAGAATTATGTAAAATACCGAAGCATCCGAGTTATTTCGGAGTTCATCTCACTTCAAATACTCTGAAATGAAATTCATGAATTTTAATATTCGTGGTACGAGGTGTCATAAATTATTCCATTTGTTCAATTTTCCTGCATCTTCGGATTCAGAAATCCTTCTTAAAAGGAATGTACAGTTCTTGGCTTGTTTTATTATCGACGCATTAGTTATATGAAGTAGTAGGAATGGCGAATGAAAATTAAGCCTAGTTTTTATCTTTCTTCTTAAATCCAATAAAATAGTGGACAAATCCATCTGGTCCGGCCAATGTTAGCTTTTATTATCATAGTCTCGAGTATTCTAATGTATTTCCACATCATCATTGTTTTGATGTTTTTAATTGAAATGCCCATTATATCCATCGTTGTTACAAATGGAACCTAGTTGTCCATTATCATGCTTTCTAGAAGTGATTCCGATTTAAATTAAAAAGAAGAGACAGAGAAAGAGAAGAAATTGGTTCAATTTAGAACTCCCTCAAAGTGCTAATGTGAATTGGTGCCATTTCTAAAACAGTCTTCCCAAAAAGACTGCTATTAAGGGAAATCATTTCCGGAGTACCCGTTTTCCCAAAAATTTTACACCAGAATTATTTCCATCTTGAAACTAATTAAATCAATGCGCGCAAAATTGAGACTTATGCGAAACAAAACGGATCTTTATCAACTTACGAATGACTTGGTAAGACTCAAATCATTGTTCCAATCCAGAAAATTCAGAAGTAGCGTTTCGGATTCATTCATTACTCCATGGATTTATTTCATTTCAATATCGCTAAAAATGAATGCCACTCACCATGGGGTCAACTCATTCTAAGCCGACCTTCATGTCCAATACCAAATTCTTGGAGCTCACAAGAGTAGGCAGTGAAGGGCCTGGAACAAAAGGCAAAGAGTAGAAAGATATGATGTAGAGCTCTCCCGCAGCTCAAAACTAGTAGTCCGAGCACTTTTCATTCATTTCACTGAATCATTTTTTTTTTCCATGTGTATGTGTCTATGAGCGCATTTGTCTAAGTGTATGCATACGTGTATACCCGTTCATTAGTGTAATTGTATGTTATACCTCTAAGTGCGTTTCATCTTAATAAAATTTTCATCACTGAGATTCAACAAAATCAGTGGTTGAAGCTAAGACTTTCCACATGTCGTAGAATACACCGTGTTGCATTCATCTTCTGAAGGTAATCCAAAGTATTCTAAAATTCATTTCTAGTGATACCGAGGAATTGAAATGATGGAGAGCATTCAATGAAATATTGCTGAATAACCTTGAATGACGCAGTTGAAAAATGTAAACCGTTTTTTTTTTCAGGATGTGAGGTTGTGCGGTGTGATGAACATATTGCTGAACACTATCACCTACTTGTTATCATTCACCGTCATTGAAATACACGCTCAGTGGAATACTGCCACAACAACTCTCTACAACAGTCGTAAATTTTATTTGCTGAATAATTCCCTGATTCAAGACAGTTTTTTAATGATGTTCAAATATTTTCCATAAGAAAAGAGGTACAAATGATTGGTTATATATAGAGAGCAGAATATGATTAGGTTAACTTTGAGAATTGCAAATGATCTTCTTAGAATGATAAAATTATCATTGTACATGCTAAACATATCGTTGTTTCAAGATATTGCGATCTGATCAAAGAAGAATTAAAATTCTGAACTAAGAAAATACTTCGAGTATAAAAGCTGTTTGTTGAAAATTTTTTCAACTTTTTTCCTTCTTCGGTCATTCCCTTTCTTTTACTCACTCTTCATGATATCCAATTTCAACTGCATTCAAAAATTAAATGTTACTTCTTAATGTACATATTTTAATTTTATTCCAATTGTGCGAACGCGAGGAAATAGACAGTGTTCTCTAATAGTCACTACTTGTCCGACATCTGTTATGGCACGAAGTTTAACATTTCTATTGAACAACTTACATTAATGATTTATAATTCCCTTCTTGTTACTGTATACATTAGTATACTGTGATGCGTATTCTCTTCAGTATTCCCGAATAAGTTTCTCTTTAGCAAGTTTTATTTCCAAAACTTCCAACTACTGTTTATCTAATTGATAAAATTGGTCAAAATCTCTTCATCTTAACAGCTGTAATAATTACTCGAAGGACTTCTTTTTTTTGTTTGCAACACTCAGAAACAAATACATCGGTTGGATTATTTGAAAATATACCATATTTTGATTATTTTAATTTATCAGCACTCACTTTGTACAATTACAACAATTCCGCCAGTTTCAATCAAACTCAGCATTTGCTCTGTTTAACATTTAACACATTGAGACCAGAAGTTGCAATTGGTTCAATCCATACCATTATTTATTTGAATAAATATTCATTTCGCATCATTTGTCGCTTTGAAAGACAAAGGGAATTTTTTCTTTGCGACACATTTTCAATGAAACATACCAGGTGATGAGAGTGAAGTGTCGGTTTACTTCATAAAATCAAATGAAAGGAAATTTTTCTTCCCTTATTACTGTTTCTCCTTCCATAATCACTAATCAGTTTATTTTGTTTCCCATTAGATGCATTTATTTTATATTTCTTTCTTTTTATAATCCTAAATTGTACTTGTAAATTGTACCTGTACTACTTGTAATTGTACTTTGTCATATGAGAGATGGAAAATAGTTGTTTTTTCTCTTCTCTATCTCTTCTCTTTCTTTATCTGGCCGATATTAATACTGGGGAAGATAAGTGCTTAACAAGAAGACAATTGAGACTGAAATTGACCACTAATAACGGTCAAAAAAGTTGGTTAGTTCTCAAGGAATATGAATTCATATATGCACTGATTTTCTAAATGACATTCCAACTTCGCTACTGGAGCGTTGCAAAAGCAATATATTTTCTGAATGTCAATAGGAAATGGCGGTTTTAATTCTGCGAATTTTTTGAAAGAGTCATTTAAAAAAGCGCTTTTCGATAGACTCTCAAGGGACAGAAATATCAATAAATTTTTGTCAAAATTTTTTTCTCACTTTTTGTTATTTCCTTCAAGCTTTAAATTTGTTTTCGGTCCCTAATTTCGTTTCTCATTACTAACAGCATATCTCTCTTTTAGTATCATTACTCTGTCCACCTTGTTTTGCGACATTTATTTCATATTTCCTTTTTTTTATAATTCTAAATTGCACTTCCCCACTGATTTATATGAATCATAATGCTTTTTGCATTTCTATTTGGATGTTGATTTTTGTTCGAACTATACTTAAAAAAAATTTTTTACGCCCTTTAGAATTTTAAACTGTATTCACTTCCAAGGAATGAATTATTTGAAATAGTGATGTCCATTTACTCAATTTCCGGTCCAGATGAACAAGATTTGACATCACATATCACTCTATTGGATCGTTCGGCTTTAAGCCCTAGTAGTTATCATTTTTTTTTATTATCCCATGTCTATTAAACCTAAAAATTAGACAACAACAATTATCTGTGATCTGTGACTGTGTCGAAGAAGACTCTCATTATTCTTTTGCTTTTTTTCCTTCAAATAACTATTGCTGGTTCCATTTTCTCATCAAAATCCCGCATTATGCATGGCATCAAAAGAAAATTTTAGCCAGGATAGAAATATGCATTTGATAATGTCTAGTTATGGGTCCTACCATAATCAGTTGTTATCTCCTTTGATACCATAGAAAGGCTTTTATTCAGAAAGAACAAATGACTAAAAGCTAGATAATCTTTAAGCTATGATCCATGATTATCATGGGTGTTAATCTAAGCGCAAATCTTTTTCTTCACCAACAGAGTAAACAAAAACAATTTTTAAGTAGTGGACTTTTTTTCTTTTTTTTCAACAACTTTTTCTAAGATATTTGAACGAGACAGTCGTTTTCGATGAAGTAATTATATATGCTCATCCTGCAGAAATATAATGTCAAAGTCATTTCCACTTCAAAATTAATGTTTAAATTTATTACTTAAAGAGTCGCGATACAAGAGAGAATCTGACAGTTATTTGTCCACTTCAAAGGGGAAGTCTGTGTTAAGTCTGACTCTACCAACACTTATGTCGGATCTGTGTCCTTTTCTGTTGGACACTAATGGCTGGGATACTAAATAATTCTAACCGTTTATTATCGCTGATATCTTACTGCTTTCATGATGCTTCAATGATTTTATTTCATCCATGCAAATCTCGTTTTAGTAATCATACAAACTTTGTCGAAAGTTTGTGTAAAGGCGAACTGCGATCTGTTCTACTGGGCTTTAAAGTTTGTAAAAGTCGATTATGGTGCTAAATAATTTTATAAAAGGCGTGGAAAATGGCCGAAATAATTGCTGAGCGATCATTTTTTTCAATTCCGTTTATTATTCATTTAGATTTATTAATCCAAAAGTTTATTTTTAAAACTTGCTGTCACCTTGCATCAATGTATCATCTAAATAATATAGCAACTGACTCTTCTAACCCTTAACACATCATAATGGATAATGATTAGTTGTGCTTCTAAAAATTCGATTCTTTATCGGATCCTTTAAAGGTTACTTTGTTGTAAGGTGCAAGGATGTTTTCAACAGCTATTTGTGATATGCTAACTTACAATATACATTGGTGAACTGTTTAGGATAAAAATTTATCAAAGAAGAGATTATAGGTGCATTTCTCTAATCCATTTTGCAAAGGGATGACATTCCCACGCTTGGCTTCCAAAATTTTTCGATTTTCATTCACACAAAGCCAACGTTGTTTCTCTGGAAAGGTCAGCTAAGTGAAATTTTGATATAATTTGCATATTATGTAAACAAGGAAAGCACTGCTGCAATGCCATCTATGTTCTTTCTCTTTACATATACACTTTTCCAAAAGAGACAGCTCAACATAATACTTCTCCATCCGGCTATATCCATTCCTGAAAGCAGCAAAGCTCTTATTCGGAAAATTGCTTGCAGCAAGGAAATGCTATAATGAAGAGAAATGAGAAGACACAATATTGCCGTATGAATGAGAAAGATTTCTTGGAAATATGTGTTGTTGTCATTTTGATGCAAAAAAACAGATGTCTGTAATGGATTTATGAGGTAATTAAAAGCTTTCTTAATAAAACAAATTAACACTTTGTAATGGTAATTTATATCTATCAAATTCCACCAAGAACCATTTTCTCTTATCTGAAACTTTTCAAATATCGCATACGGGTCTTACTTCACGTCATGGCTCTGTCTTTTTTTTTTTTTTATTCATGGCTAACAAACTGCTTTTTTTCCGATGCATTTTCTAACTGTCAACAAACTACACGATCTATGATGACATCTAGTAACTCTTACTTTGCTATTGTAATTTTCTGACGATAATATTATTTATTGCAGTAGATTTCACATAATAATGTAAACCCCGAAAAGAAGTCCTCTTAGATAAATTAATTTAAATTCTGCGGGGTTCGACTTGTTAGCTTGTGCACACTATTCATTCTTGCATTTTTATTAACAACAAATGCGGTCGGTAGAACTTCAATTCTTTATGGAACATATGAATTAGTCATCCTGCTTTTATGTTACAGCTGTTATTTTTTAACCTGAACCTGAACCCGAATTTTTCATAATTTGACGACATTCCTTATTCTTGAAATGGGTCTTCACAACAACTCCATCCATGGGTTAAAAAACGTGGCACCAAAATGATATTACAACAGTTTCGAAGTAACTAGCCTTGTTTGACAAAATACCATTCGCTAATTATCCATCATTTTAGTACATTGGTATATTAAAATTTTGTGACTTCGGTAAATCTTCTATCCACTACCGAAATTATTTCTGGTCTACAGTTATTATCATAAATGGCTTTGGATTACAAGTACACTACTATTGTTCAATAATTAAATGAACTCATCTGCAATAATTCAATATCGTTAATACCTCTCTCAGATTCTAAATTCTACACTTGGTCCCATTTCCAATTAATTAGCGGTTTGTGCTGCTACAGCTACTGATACTGATATTACGCAATGTCCTGATGTGTTTCTATTCCATAACGATTTCAATAGCAGTGTCAGCGTTGTTGTACATTGGTATCAATGCTGCAGCTATGCTTCCGAACTATACCACAACATTTCCGGGTGATAAAGATGCAGGTGGCAAAAGTCTGCGCTTCACCAAACCGTTTCATCTAGCATATTTTGATAATTTTAATGTTGATGTTCCCAGTAATAGCAATCTCTACAACCGGTTCCATATTACTGGTAAATTTTTTGATTCGGTGGCATTGAATGAAGTATCATTTACTTCACAAAATATGCACTTCTGTTGATAATATAGAAAAACTTAGTGCGAACTGACTACAGTATGACTTTATATAATTGGAAATTTCCAATGAGTTGCACATATACATTTGCACGTTTATGCGATCAGTTTCTTGCTGCTGCTTTCCTGCTTGTAGATATCAAATTTATGAAATATTTGGACGAAATTATAGCGAAAACAAAAGTTATCGTATATTTACAGAGGAGGAAAAGTTTAAAACAGATAAAGACAAAATTACTGAGAAAAATGATCCGTGTTGTCAGTTACAGTTGAGAACATTGGCTTTCGCTTTTCATTTCAGACATTTGGATTTGAGACGAAGATGTGGGGAACTGCTGCATGATGCAAATACCTACTAATAATTAGCACTGCCGCTAAAGCAATCTTTATTGACCTTCTATAATAAATTTATGAAATTTCGATGTCTATCTACCTTTTCATTAGCTTAAGTTTCAGATACAGCCCGCTGTTTCTCCTGTATGTCGAGGCTCTACGAAGCAGTCTGGCCCGCTCTTTCGTCTATTTATAGGAGGCCGAAAAATTTCACGGATTTATGTAACGAAAACAATCTCGATCCAGAAGCCGTTCCGTTCACTTATTGCCCAACAATTTGCATACGAATGTGGGAGGAACCGGCTGTAGCTGGTATCTTTTCCATTCAAGTTGCTCGTATCACATAAGGTTGAATATCGATACTTCTCACATGTATGAGAAAGCTTCTCACACACAGCAGAGTAGAACAATTTTCTAAAGTTGGGATGGAACTGAAAGAAGAGAATTATCTTCAGTATGTGCAAGACCTATACCCAATATATCCAATCAGAGTAATTTTGTTATAGATGAACAGCTTGTAGGAGTTCGAATAAGGGGTCATATTCGTGGATGCCTTGATGAGCTTCTTTATAACGGCTTCAATCAAACAATCGTCATGTGGTACAGGTGGATGCACCGCGACTCTTGCCGTCAATACAGGTCTTCATCTCTTCCCATCTTTTCCACATAATTCTTGTGCTCCAGTTGAAAGGACCAATATTGCAGAAAACGTGAACTATTCAAGTTACCGACCGAATTAAGCGACGATAGCTACATTACTGTGTGCACTTGCTATGCTGATTATTGCAATGGGAGATCATCTGCAACAACAACTGAACGGGCGCTCTTTCACTGTCCACTCTTCTTCGTGCTCTTATCTTTCCTTATCGTTCTGTTTCCTATTCACAGGATATCCTTATCAATAATTTGATACTGCCCATGTCAGTGTATCTTTGTATATTGTATCTCATATGCCTGTGATCTTACTGTGGACAGTCTGACACACACATTTTCGATGGAAATTAGCAGCAAGCCTATCCAATAAAATTGTTATTGAGATAGAGGCCTAAATGCACATTTCAGATGTGTCTAAGTTACCTAAGTAGGGCAAAAGCGAATCCAGAAAAGTATTGCAGCAAAAAAGTTAGAATTCGAAAGAAAAAAGACTACCCCAAAGTTTTAGAGAGTTTCTCAGTTCCCCCTCATAGGTTCAGATAATCTGATCGAATCACTTGTTCCATCTTTATTTCATCACCTCACCAAGAATCTCTTCACCAGTGTGAGGTTTCATCGGAACTGAAGCCAATGAATAACTATTTCATAAATGTACTAAGGAGCTTATTTTGCTGACATAGGAAAATATTGCAGCAAAAAAGTTACAGATCTACAGAATCCCAGAACCACTTAGGAAAAATTTAACTTGTGTATTAGTATTTAAAAATCTGTGTGGAGGAATTGTTCGCCTCAGTTTATCTGGAGCTAGTGCCATAAAAGTGCATCAGTTGATAATGAGAAGGAACACAAAAAAGGAAATAAGTGGCAAAAGATAATGTAGACACTGATAAAATTTGCTAGAACTAGAAGGAGATGTGGAAGCGATAATTTAAAATCATTATTTTTTAAATAAATGTTGATGGGCGCCGTTACATCCAAATTTGCACGATGTTTTTTGACCATATTATTTGAGCACGTTTCTAAACAGTATTGTAATGCTAGACCAGGAATGGATTTTTGATATCTGAACAAACTATCAGGTAAATAAAATATGACATGATGCAAAATGCAAACAATTTTGCAGAAATTTATTAATTGAAGCTTTCGAAAATATACAAAAGAATGGAAATGCAAGAATGCATGAAAATGCAAGGGTACACAAGAAAACGAGAAATTCTTTCAAACGTAGTGATCGTTAAAATGTAATGATCGTTTTTCGCAATGTTTTGCAGATTCAAATGAGGATCTTCCAGACCAACAGGGTTTCTCCATCAACAAGAAAGAACTAATCAACTTTTCAGTGGCCCAGATAAGTTTGCCCAGTCAGTGTGATTGATTAGTCAATCGCCCACAGAAATAACTACAGCAATCGTTTCAGCAGCCATTTGCGCTATTTGTCTGCATTCTGTCGATGGATCAGCTTCGGCTAGCTTCATTGCATACTCCAACCAATCGATTAATTCGTCTCAAGGAAACACACAGTTATCATAAAAAAATGAATTTAGTAGGATGAAACTTGATAGACTGTAGAAATTTCGAGTTAAATTCAGTTAAATTCATTTCAGATAATTCTTTTAATTGCCAAAATTTGTTCAATGGAATCAACAAACACTTCATCGGATAAGTGAAAAAAAAGCTACTGTACTCCTATTAGGATGAGAAGTTCGAATAGACAACAGCTCTGGTAATTGTAGCAACGACCCCATTCATTGGGATCGATAGACGATATTGTGAAACGAAAATATTTTACCTGAATAGAATTGCAGTACTATCTCCCTCGATAAGGAGATACAAATAGAAGTATAGCAAAAAAGTACAGCTTGTCTCACCGCAAAATTCGTATTATGTCGAAGCGGAACAAGCAAATAAGCCAAGGTACTGCAAGGAGTAAGATATTCTAATTTTACGAAAAATAAGAAATATAAGAAGACGCAGTATGTTGCTTCACAAATAACTGATAGGATACCTCGACACCCAATAAAAATCTACAACATATCAGGCCGTGTTACACCTGATCCGGATTTACTCTCCTTTTTAGTTCCTCTTCAAAGCGAGGAAAGCCTGCAATGCTATGTTCACCAAAAACTGATTTGTAAGTAAGCCAACATACACATCTTAGAAGATGGCAGAATCATAGAATTATGGAAAATTTCTAGCCTTGTCCAGCAATGCTGGAAATCTGAAATTTGACAGACTCAGGAAGCAAGAAAAACACTACATTTTTTCTAGAAAAGTAATATACTCCTTTAAGTTCGCCTGGTTTACTACTTATGACATGTAAAAACAATTTTAGCCTACCTGTCAAACAGGTCATCCCTGCATAGACAAAATAAATATCCAATGTTATTCAAAAAGATTTTAAGATTGTAAAAAATGGGTTAAGGATATACAATGAAATCCTTGATATCAAGGAACTCGAAATTCAAATCATTTTCAGTGTGATTCGGTTCCTACAATTCGGACTTTAAACTAATAATCTTAAAACTGTCTGAAATTGAAATAGAAATCTTTGATCCAATTAACATACCTAGCCATTTTAACTGTACATGGTGAAGTGCCAGAACATCTGATCAAATGACCCATACAGAACAGAATCCTACTCAATAATTCCGAATCTCTTCCCTGAAATAAGAGATCTATCTTCCATATCACAAGATTTTCATCACAGTTTGAGTTTCAGTGACATTAATTTATTCACCACATTGCATGGCTGAACTACTCCAAAACAAGAACCGGAACCAATTTCGCAGAACTTTAAACAAAAGACTAACACTTAGATCGAGATGTTCACGATGCTGGTCGATTGCTGTCAAGGGGAAAAAAACGAATTTGCCATTGGTGTAAATCTGTTTTCCTTTAGCAATGTAACTGGTGTTTTCACGAAGTATTTTGTTTTGGAGATCAGTTCTCCATGGTTCGGAACTTTATTATCTAAGCAATCACTATATCAGTAAACTTACATTTGGCGACAAGCTACGAAGAAAATTTGTTACCAAAAATCCTCAGATCGTACAGATGAAAACCATTAGATGTCTTCAGCAAAATCGCTCAAAAAAATCGCTATAGAGAAGATTTTGGCTTAATCAGAGAGCATGCTCTTCATCCTTCCAACCTCACCTTCATTCTTTGGAATTCTGGTGTCAAAATTTTCAACTTGCGTTGGAGATGAATATTCCGATGCTGCGTCGGACAGAGCCTTTAAAATGATGTACCTATTTGTCATGGAACATCTGAAAAGGAAATAAGCGAGAAATAGATAAGTGAAGAAACATGTGCCTGTTGTAACTTCAGAACAAAAGATTTCAAAAACAGTTGTTTCTAAAATTTCTTCACTACATGCATCAGACCGAATTTAATTGTGCAGCAATGAAATTCAAACGAACTTTCTTGAAAACATGATATCAATAGCAACATTCCCCAGATGTGGACTTGTCACTAAACAAGATTCAATAAGCTGTAGTCGTTTCTCCTGCAGACAATGATACATAAATACAAAATATAATTGGCGATATTTAGAAGCAGCAATTTTTTTCAAAAACCTGCTCATTTGTAACAAAAATCCAGTTTTACAATTCGTTATTTTTGGCACAATATCACCACTGCATCAAAATTACCCAAAAAACTATTTTTGCCGCCCTCTGAATAATCAGTGGTATACAGATTACCGCAACCATAATGTACTAATTAGTATAATCACCTGGAAACGTTCGGTTTTGAAGTGATCACTAAGATCGATAAGTCGGCATAGTAACTCCTCCGCAGACTGTTCATAACCAACAGCTCGTTGTCTTAAATCAACCAAAATAGAACCGTTATCATGGATTTTTGATATATCAATTAAATTAAATTATAAATTGAGATTAGAAAGAGAGTTTTCTTTTGATAAATTGCTTGAAAGTCATCATCACTAACTCCAAAACTTCACAGTGATACGAAAAGTGATATTAGATTAATACCATTTCGAGCTACTTCTAAATCCTCAATGTTTAATCCCAGTTCTTCGCTGGACAAAAAGTAGCTCAGAATCAAAACTAAATATGTCACCTAATCATCGGTTCCAGTGCGTCGAATGCAGCCTCAAATTTGACATAATCGTGTTGCTCATTCAGTCCCTCAATACAATCTCTAATATAGTATGGTACCTCTACACTGTGATAATCATCATCATTTTCTTCCTGAAAAGACAAAGTTCTTTAAAAGCCCTTTAAAAAGTCCTGTAAAAATAAAAGAACATTCTATGTTCTATCACAAGTAGCACAAGGCTTTGCAGCTTAAAGATATTTACTCAAAATAGATGTTTGCTACATTAACTATGCTATGGAAACCTTTTTCAAGAACAATTCTTCTTCAGGAATTTCATATTCGGGGAAATCATCATCATCACTATCCACTTTGTCTGCATCATCCCCCACATCCTGTATTTCTAGTTGCATTACTTTCTTCTCTTCACTCTCAGTTTTGGTAGCTTTCACATAAGTATCATATTTATCGTCCACAACCTTCTTCAAGTCTACCGTGATTTTATCTGCTTCAGGAGGGAATTCAAATTTCAGCTCACCCAACGAAAACCAGTCCGTAAGCACTTCTGAAGAAATACATAATTTTAAGAATATATATGAATTTTCTCAGAATCATCCCGATATATTCACTTCCAATTGTAAAATCTTATTTCTGAAAAAAAGTAATCCTTCTGTAAGCATCTAAATGTTCCTAAAATGCAAAAACATAAATAAAATAAAACGGCAAAATATGTAGACCTGCCACAAACATTCCTCTTAGCCTACGCCGAATATCTGAGCACTTGAGACGGATGTTGACACCAGAAGCCATTTTAGTAACAACTTCGGATGAAATAGAACAACGTATTTGCTCGCTGAAACCTTCCAGCTTACCCTGATATCATGTATAATTTCCAGCGGATTATAAAAACAATAGCTTCACTTCTTTCAAGAGGAATCACTTTTTTATGCAGAGGAATTAAAGTACTAGCGCAAGGCACAACATACGTTTCATGAACACTAGGATACTACAAAAACAGTAACTTCATCAAAGGAATGAGTAGTCAGAAATTTAGCATAAACATCTGCTTCCAGCACGTTTCAAATAACTATATGTTCAAAAACCCAACACTGTTTCCAGGCAACTTGAGCAAAAAGAAACTTACTTTGCGTATTTAACAAAGTTGAGAAGCACGACATCAATATAATCCAACTGTTCATCAGAAGAGTGACTGACATGGATACTGCTGGCCCATACATTTAGAGCCGTATAGATAGTATCCCGATGCAACATGCTCCACGGCCCATCACCTATTACGGGCAGTTGAGTGCTAATTCAATATAAGTGTTATTTTGAAAATGAATAAGAATGAGCTTTATGAACAGGAATTAAAAGAACAGATGAGCGGAAATATAAATAGTAGATGATTTGAAATTATTTGGAGCAAAAAAAATCATATCAAGGCTTTGTAAGCAAATTAAGAAAAAAAATGATTCCGCAAAATTTGTACAAAAAAAAAAAATTATGCCGGTTTTAACGCAGAATTTTGATCCTGCCAAAGACGAGTGATTTTTTAAAATCCGTGATCAAACATGGGAAAGAGCATATATTACACTTCTCAATAAATCAAAGGAAATTAAATAATCCAAAATTCTGCAGCAGTTTTAGCTCTACAGATTACATAAAAATATAGGTTGGTAGAAAAAACTATTACATAAAAATATAGGTTGGTAGAAAAAACTATTACATAAAAATATAGGTTGGTAGAAAAAACTATTACCACAGGACTCGTGATTGCCGAAATGCAAACAAATAGCCAATTTTTCAGGAACTTGTTCTGTCAAAGGAAAGATTTTGACAAAAAGCGCTTTCTCAAAGAAAACCCTTCTCACTATTCGGTTTTCGTATATTTCATTACCAAACAATTTCTACAACATGTAATATATAACATAATTTCACTAAGGCTACATCTTGAGTGTCATAGGACCATTGTGGAAATAATTAAGGATAAGGGAGAAGGCTTTACAGAGCCTTAAATAAGTTCTCATAGAAGTAATTAAGCCCACTAAGCAAAAAAATACCATAATTGTTGGCTAGTTAGATTTCAAAAAATCCTTAATTTATGAATACATGGTCTTATTTCAGAACCATTTTTATCTCCTCCCACTTCACCTATATTTTAAGTTAAATAATGTCACCTTGTCTTATATTTACGAAAAGCCCCTACATATTCCTATCACTATTCCACTGAAGCGGACCTGTAGAATTTCGCCATCCTTTGCTGCAAGTAGAGTAAGTGTGAGTAGGCTTTCTGAATTAGCTATACCGTTCGAAGTGTCCGTAAGCAGTCTCGCGCTAATACTACCCCAAATCGTATCATCTACCTGAGATCCTAACCAGGTTACTAGTGTCCGAAATGTCTGAAAATAAAAATTAGGGTGAAAATCGCGAGTGAGGAGTGTAATCTATATCCGCAAATAAACAATGTTTTAGAAAAAATTTTTGTGCTTTTGATCAAAAAAAGTGAAAATCTTAGTTTTGGCATAAAATATATAAAATTAGAAAGACCAACAACAATATCTCCGCGGCTCAACTCATAAGTGATTCCCGCGAGGAATTCCATGTTCACATTCTTTCCATTTCGACATCTCATCACTGCATTCATGAGAGCAGCTTTAAGTGAATTCAATAAATAAATCCAGTGATTGTTTAAATAAGCCTTCAGAAATGCGTCATTTGACTTGACCTTAATAAACCACTTTGATATTAAAATACTTTCATTTTTCTTCAAAAACAGCAATAAATTCTAATACACACAGAAGAATAAAGACCTAATTCACATGATAGAAGTTTTTTGCAACCATAAAAAGATTTGGATATATTCAAGGAACTGAAGTGTCATACAAAACTGAAAATTTAGGCATAACACATCTCTTCCTATCTGTGCTGTAGGCTTCTTTCGCTTGCACAACCAAAAAAACAAAATTAAAAATTAAAACTAACCAAATTTGAAAGATGGAAATTTCCGAAAACATTGTGCACCAAACATGTAGTTTGACCCAAAAGTCTGCATAATTCCCCCTGTTTAGCATTCCAGTCCACTGAAATTGCAAGAACTATGGAATAATTGTGCAAAGTGTTGCAAATTACAATAAGAGCAGTGTGACCAGTATATCACCAGTGTCTTGAAGTATTTTTTTTCCCGAAAGAAAACTAAAACTTTCATCTATCAAGAGACTAGTACCAAAGATGCTTAAAATATGGATACTTTGAACTTCGCTTATGAAAATTCTGGAAACTGCTACAACTTCAGATAGATACATATATGCAGTACATGTATGGTACATATATGCAGCAACAAATTACAGAAGGAAACTGCTTGGTATAAGCAATGAGAGGTAATAAACAAGCAGCCGCTGACCATCATCCGGATCTTTTTTAATGCTGTCCACAAGTAATGATTCTAGGCGTGTCTTCTCCAGATCGTTTAATAGAATTATTATATGCTGCAAGCGAAACATTTGGGAACTATCACAAGAATTTAAGGCACTGATTAAAACCAGGAAAGCATCGTCTACAGGAGCTGAACGGAACAGTGCTGTAAACAACTCCTTGAATTCATTTGCTGTCAAAAGGCCTGAAATTTCAAACAAATCTTTTTTTAAAGATGAGTAGAAATCCCAATAACTCATACAGAAAAAAAACAAAGAAATGATCGGCGATGATTAACCAGATGGCGATGACTTAATTGAAATATAATTCGTAGTCAACTAATGTTAACTTTAGCAGTTATTTCTTATTAGATGTTCACAGTTCTGATCGAACTATTAGTTCAACAAAATTTATTAAAGAATATAATCTTATATGATCAACATTCTTCCACAGTTATTCGGTTTCATTTCCCATTTTTTACATCTTGTCGATATTCACTATTTCCTATTTTGTCGAATTTCTTAACGCCAAATAAATGTATTATTGAAAGTAACAAAGTGATGGAAGCAGTTACCAATTGAAGAAGGATGAAAGATGTTAATTAACTCAGTGAGCATGCGATATTTCACAAATGGTAACTTTTCCGGTGACGACACACACTGAAATTATATCTGCTGATGAAGACTGAAAGATGGGGAAAATGCGGGGGTTTCGGTCTTGGTTTCAAAAATGCCAAAAATACTTCGGGAACCAATGTAATCCACAAAAACATGGAAGTCTGAGCGAACCACAGCGCAAGCTACCGGGTTCAAACCTAGTTTTAAGTGACTTATACTTATCGCCATGCTCGAGAAGAAGAAATAACGTTTACCTGTAGAGCATTTTGAACAGCAATAAGTAATTCGGATCTGTTCCTAGCACTGCTAAGAGCATCTAATTCTCCGTCACACATCTCAAATTACATCTTTTACACATTTAGGGAACCAAATTAAATCTCTGGACACAGTTCCCCCTTCGGATAACAATATCCTCTCCGATTTTTCGTCCTGTCCCCCTCAACCTGTTCCGTTATCAATCCCTCCACTCCACTCGCTGTCCTCTTACCACCACTACCTCCAGGTTTTACTAATAACTAAGCATAAGCTGACCTTCCAGACGGGCAGCCGTGAAGTACATCTCAGCTTACCATTCAAGTTTTCCGTTTGGCTTGTTTGTGCACTGAGGAGGGGAAAAGGAAAAGGCGGGGAGAAGACACTCCAATGTTCTCAGAGTGCGATTTCAGGTCGAACTGATATAAATGGATAAATTGGTACCCTTTAAGCCCGTTAGATCAATTTCATGCTCATGGACTGGAATTAATGTGGAGAGCTTACTGTGTTTATGTATATTCGACGCTGATTTATCATTCATTTCAGATTAGAGTAATGGCTTCTCATCTTGAAACAAACCTTGCATTACTACAAGAATTGGTATGTTTGTTCATCTTGAAATTTCTCTTTTTATTCCATCAAACAGGTTCAAATTTCGCAGTAAAAAAAAGATTTTTCACTGCTTTTTTAACGCTCCAAGTGGAAAATACATTTCGTTCAAATCGTACATGAAAGCGTGAAGAATATGCTAGTTCCTTGTATGCCGATATTTTCCTATTAGGTAATTCGTAAATGGAAACATCAAAAACATAAGGTTACTTCATGCATGTAGATTGTAGTATTATATTTTCGTTCTGTAATTGCCGTAATTCTGTATTTGATTGTAAAAGATAACAACATGCTGCAGGAAAAGGGAACTACGAAATAATACAGTCACTTTTGAGGAAATGTGCCCTTTAATTATTGTTGTCAGCAACAATATATAATGACGTATTTCCTCGAATGACATGTTGTTAATTAGTAAATGTAAGAAATAGTAAGGACACAGATATTCATTTATAAATCTGCTTGATATGGTAAAATTGATTTTTAGATAAACAAAGATCCGGAATCGTACAAAGAAGAATTCTTGGGCGAGTACAATTTCTATATCAGAACAATACAATTATTGAGGTTGCAACCGAATTTGAATCATACGGATCTGCAATCACTGCTGGAACTGATTAATTTCTTGGCATCTACTAGTAGCCACTACCCAAGTTAGTCTAGAGAACTTATTTATTTGAAGTAAGAAATCTTTCATTGTTTGTTCACAGGCATATATTTCTATTATTCTATGCCTTAACAAACTGTATAAAAATGCCAATGTTTGTAATTTTCGCGAATCAAATTCCATTTTTGCAGAAGAGAGTAAGGAATATGCAGCTAGTATTATGGAGATTTTGAGTAGTCGACTGACTGGAATTGACCCAGAGGTGATTTTTCGAACTTCCAGAGAACTTGAAACGAGTTTTTTTTTTTTTTTTCAAGAATGGAAACGGTATTATATGTATTATATGCTAAGGGAGGATTTGCAAGTTCCTTCGAAATTACTCACTAAATAAATCATACACTGAATTGAATGAAATTTCCAAACTATGAAGGTCGACTTCAGATTCGTGTGGCGTTTTGTAAAGCTCTTGTTACCCTACGCAATCGCAGAATCATTGACCCCTTAGCTGTTATGGATTTGTTTTTCACGCTTATTCCTTGTGAAGACAAAAATTTGAGGTTAGTTTCTATTCTTGTGCTTCAACTGCATTAATTCTTGTCATGAATGTCCCGTGAATTCGCGTGAACTTCTAAATGGTTCTCATGGATGTGAATGAAAAATGTTGACCTTAATATCCGGCTGTCAACCAATGTTGTTTTTAACCAGTTGAGATGAATAAAAAAGCAAGGATAGGGAAGGAAATAACTGCATTATTTGACTTTCAGGAAGTTCATCTGCGGATCAATAAAGGCCTTAATAAAAAAACTTACGCTGCAATATCGGGATCAGAAGACACTATGGAAAGTTCGAACTTTTTTGTTCACCAAGTTGAAGGACTCTCGATCCATTGTGGTGCGCACAGCTGAATTGGTAGGGTTTCGATTGTTTCTCAATTTTTATTCAGATGTAGAGCTTCCACCTTGTCCATACTTAGATTGTTTAGTTTTGTATGCTTTTTAGGTGCTTATTGATGGATTTCGAAAAGGTTTTTTGAAAGATGCTAAAACAGCAAACGCTTTGGCAGATTGTTGTCTCCACAAAATTTCGCGCATTCAGGTTCACTACAATCATATTTTATGGCATAAACAAAGACAATTTAATCAGTTAGGTAGGATCGCATATCTCATGTTAAATTTTCGATGTGACAGACGCGAACTGTATAACTAAACACTTTCGGTGATAGAAACAAATAGTTAATCTGCCGAAAGAAATGAACTATAAAACTGCCCAAACCTCTCCCTTAAAGTTTGATCAGGTTTGTGCACTACATTTATTCTATTTATAGGTTGCAGCAATGCGGTTTTTCCTTGGCTCATTGGAAGACGATGATTCTGATGACGGTGAAAGTGAAAGTGAAGAGGAAGATCAGAAAACTTTAAAAGAGGTGCATTCTTTACCGAATAGCATAAGGATGCATTGAACTTTCAAAGACTGAAGTATTACATGTTGATATTTCCCACTAGGAGAAATTTAGATAGCTGAAATATTTTTCAGATTGTCGTTGCATATAAAGCTGCAAAAAAGACTCGTAAAAAGAAGGAAAGATTCATGAAGGCAAAGAAGCTGTTAAATAATAGTAAAAAATCGAAAAAAGAAAATGCCGGAAAATTCTGCAATCTGTTAGCAATTCGTTACATTTACGATCCTCAAACATTTGTTGAACGATTGTTCGGTTTATTGGAGAGCAGGAAGAATGAGAAATTCGATACACGTCTTTTGTGCATGGCGCTATGTGCTCGAATGATTGGTACTCACAAATTGCAAGCGTTATCGTTTTATTCTTACATGCATCGTTTTCTCCAACCAAAACAAAGAGAAGTTCGTTCTTTATCACTAAAATGATTTTAAAATGATTTTTAAAAAATAATTAAAATAATTGTAAAATGATAAATGATTTTACAAAAAATACTTTTTATAGATGATTTTAATAAATGTTTTTATAAATAATTTTACAAACAATTTTTTTATAAACTATTTTTTATAAATAATTTCACGAAATAATGTAATAATTTTTTCCGAAAGAGTCGGAATTGAGATGGTTTTCTTAAAAAAGTAAATTGATTTGCTCTGTACTTGCTGAATGCTAGCGCTGCACTTTGAGATGGGAATTTCTAATTTTACTGTTGTGGAACACTTTAAACGCATGTTTTTCAGGTTACCAGGATATTACTTTACGTAGCACAGGCTTGTCATGAACTGGTACCACCGGATATTATTGAACAGTTGGTATATGTTATTGCCCAGAACTTTGTTTCTGATCGAAATACACCGGAGGCAGTGACAGTTGGATTAAATACTATACGTGAAATATTCGCAAACTGTCCATTTGCTGCAACGGAGGATTTGCTTAGAGATTTGACTGATGTATGCATTACTTTTTATTTTTTACTTTTATGAAACTCCACTATATATGTCCAAAATCATAAGATTTAAAAATCATTATCAACAGCAAAATAAAAGAATACCGAAAATATTTCTATCGTAATTGTGGTTTGAAGCAATAATTTTCATTTCTATACTATATTGCATAAGTGACACGATTGAAGAGCAGATTAGTAAAACAGTTATTTTTGAATTGCAAAAGAAACAATCGTTGTTGCTAGAATAGTTCAAAAAGTATAAAGCAGTGTTGTTTTAGATATGATTAGTGTTGCTTTACTTCATATATCAGTAATCTTTCCAGTACAAGCGCTTTAAAAACAAGAATGTATCCATGGCGGCACGGGCTATCATCACTTTATTTCGCGCTATCAATCCGAAACTGTTACATAGGAAGGATCGGGGAAGGTTGGTATATTTGATATATGTTTTTGGTTTTTTGTTGTCATAAACTTTGTAATGTCTTGAAATATTTCAGGCCAACACAAAAATTGAAAGATTCGAAAGTAGCTGAATTTGGTGTTGAACATCCGAAAGAATTTGTTGAAGGAGCAGAGTGCTTACCAATGGAAGTTGATGCATTTGACACTCGTCTGGTATGTTTTTGCATTATCTTCAGGGAAGGAGAAAATGTTACATTTTCCTATTATTCTTTCTTTTAAATGAAATTCGATTTTGATCCTGAAATTTCTCTAAAAGTACTGATCCACTACAAATTCTTTCTGATTCGGCCTTTCCGTTTTGTGTATATGTCATATCATTTGTGCGACGATTCCATAGTGCAGCGGCCACGTTCAAGATAATTTACAGTTATTTATCTTAATGTTATATTTCTGTAATAATATTGTTCAAAATGATTCTTAAATGCAGAATGATGGAAGCGATGACACTGATTCCGATTTTGACACCGAATTTGTTGAAAAAGACTCATTAGGCTCAGATGGCGATATGGATTCATGCGATAATCACGCAGCTGTAACTAATATTTGCACGGACAACGAAAGATGTCTGAGTGAGGAATCTTGTCAGATGGTAACTTATTTCTGATTTTTATATACATCTGTTAACAACACGGTTTTGCAGCATGATGCCGCATTTTTTGCAGTTTTTCGCAAAAGTTCAGTAAGACAAGCCGGAAGGGAAAATGGTAACGAAAACGAAAATTCTCCTCAGATCACTTGCATTTATCTTTTATTTTTCACTATCCAAGATTCTTTCTCGAATTAGCGAATCTCATGACTGATTATTAATTAAAGCTTAACCAAGTCATCATTGTAGGGTGAACCGAAAACTACATCTTCTGAGACAAAAAAAAAAGCAAGGCAAATATGTGAAGATCGAATATTAACTCAAGACGATTTCCGCAAAATCAATGCTTTCCGTTTGAAACAACAAGTGGGATATGGTGAGAAACGAAGGAACGATGAATTGAAATTGGAAGAAGAATTAGGAGAAATCATCGCTAGGCAATTTTTTATTATTCATTTAGATATTTCGGAGGATGAAATGCTAAGAATTCTTGTTCTAATGCAAATCCTTATTATTTTTTTATCGTGAGAGGATAAGGAAAAAGTAGAATTTAATATTAAAAATTTGTTCTGAAGATTTTTGTACTAGACAAACTGGATCGTATTTCAAGGTTAAATTTCTGTCTTCTCTCACATTTTTCGGGATTTCTTCAAATTTCGGTCATCCTAACATATATTAAATTGGTATTATTGCCATTAAATTTGTACTGGTAAAGTTTGTTCAGAAAATACATTATGCAGGCACAATGAAGAAAATGGTTTGACACGACTTAAAGACATTGAAAAATTCCACAAAAAATTGAGAAAAGAAACGAAGGAGGAACGAATGGAGGCGGTGAAGAAGGGCCGAGAGGGACGTCAACAATTTGGAAAGCCTAAAAAGACGGTAATGATTGTGGTGACTTTTTTAAGATCCGAATTTAGCCATGAATAAGATTAACAGCTAAAAGTAACGTGATTTAAAGTACCGAGTTTTATGAATATTTGTCAGGTATCTCAAAAATTACTACATAAGTTTTAGGGAGCACATGTTGGACGTACGAACAGGGAACTGATGAAACGGAAGAATTTCCAAATGGTGCGGCATAAACTGAGAGGGAAGAATCGCCAGAGGAGTTTTAAAGAACGTCAAGAAAGCTTGCGAAAATATCTTTTGCGTCAGGCGGGTAGGAAAGTCTGAATGAGTGTTTTGTTTTAACGAATGCGCCTTGTATTAGTTATTAAAATAAGCCGTAAAATGTGTCACATTTATAAAATATACTTTATTACTTGAAAATGCAACTTACTTGTTATACCTTCATTTATATAACTTCCACATTTGATGTGGTGTTTCGACCACCTCAAACCCGATGGAATTAATGAATATGTTTCCTTTGCTGTCCGATAAGGTTTAATATTTATCACTACTACCCGTCGCTTCATCCTTTCTGGATTTTTTATGAAAAATGGAAAATTAGAACTATATTTTAGCATATGGGCTTCAAAGCTTAAAAAAATCAGCCTAATCAAGAAATATACTTCAGGCCAGAAGTCACTTATGAACATTCCTGCTTTTTGTCTCATATTCTACGATGTTCTTACTATGGATTGCACTTTTTCAGAGGACTGTTTAAAACAAAATACGGGTCCGAATCATCCATAAGAAACGATTAGACTGTAAGTGTAAGAAACGGTCTCTCAAATATCTTACACCATTTTCCCATGCCCTAAAATTTCCGGACCAGTTTAGTAACCGCCCACATATAATTCGTCCTTTGCATTAGAATGGATATATTAAATGCGAAGAATGTTATACATCTGAGCAATAATGTTCAGAATTACGAAAATTAAAGCAATTAAGAATTGGATAAATGAATAAAGAAAGGGAAGTAGATTAAGGATACGCGGAACAAGGCAATAGAAAGCAAAACAAGCAGTATTATGACTGTATTTCCTGGAGAAAAACGGAAATGATGATTATACATGGTCAACGGAAACGGAATCTAATGATGAATAGTGTTAGGATGAAAAGGGACTATAATTTCTTTATTCAAATTTGTTAACAAACAGATGTCGTTATTGACCTCTGTCAAGATCAAGTGAAAAGATCACTGCAAATATTTGCTTATTCTTTTTCATTTTTCATTTATTTTTAGATGCTTCAAAGTGTAAGCCTAATGAAGGAAGCTGATAAAACCGAAGTGGGTTTCTTGAAAAAAAAACATTGACTGTTCTGGGAAGTTTTTCACAGATTCTTTTAGTCAATAGATACACAGATGTTTTCATTGTCAAATGGAAACTATAGAGATACTGGATTCTATGGTTACCGACTTCACATTTTGCGATAAGTTTACGGGCATTGTTTTAAATGCCAGATCAGCAATAATGGAAAATCATGCTTAGATGGGTGTACTTTTTCTGAACCCAATCTCAGCAATTTGAAGGGAAATATCGATTAGCGAGATTATCTGACAAAAACTAATTGTTTATTCGAAATTTATTGTGGTTCTTTTGAACATAAAATAACGAAATAGATGGAAGGGTTAGGCAAGATTTTAACGTTTTTTCTACGGTTTTTCGAGAATTCTACCGATTATTAGTGGTGTTTCAAATTTTTTTAAAAAAACGCGAGCTAACCTGGAGAGTTCTAGGAAATGAAGTAGCTCATTTTGGTAGTAGCTGACAATCAATGATTGAATTTCGAAATGTAGTACTTAGTTGCGCGTAGCAAAACTTCGAGAAATAGGTGTACTGTGATTTTATTAAAATATCAGCGGGTTGCAACTGCGTTCCCATGAAACTCTCGAAGGTATGTATGTTTCGTTCTTTTGGTATCTATCTGATCCTTTGGTATCTACGGTACAGGTATCAAAGAATCAGATGTCTTTTTCAAAACATCCACATGCATTTTCGTCATCAGATAGTTCACCCTAGCTGTTTTGGATTCTTGAAAATAAATTCTATGTTTTTTTTTGGGAGAAAAAAAAAGCTATTCGAGGAAGAAAACGGTCTGCTATCATATCAGGATGAATGAAGGTTGTTGGATCAATTGCTTACCTTTCAGCTTGCTGAACTATTGATTTCCGATATTAGATAAAAATTGCTCCGTAGGAAGGAAGTATATACCTCGATATGTGATCAAATATCTTGCTTCAATAAAGATATTATAAAAAGAATTGTTATTTCAGTTGAAGATGAATGAAACGCGGTCTTTGGGTACCATCGATGATTCAGCGACCGATTGTTTTGTAAGGGAAATTTACATAAGATATTTCATCTACCATATTCACTATAGCAGAAAAAAAGAACAGTGGGCTTTTGGAGTTTCTTTATATAAAATGAAATTCGAATTTTTTGTGGCGTGGAAAATAAAGTTTATTTCAATGACTTTACCTTTTCCAGCTGGCACAAATTATACTTTCTTAACTTTGTTAGAGTAAGTATTTAAGGAAGAAAGTTGACGCATAGGAAAACGTATTGTAGAAAAAAGTGGGACAGTTTTAGAAGCAATGTTTTACTCTCCCATATCCATCATATGTTGATGGTACTGTGAATGACCAATTGTGCTAAAATAATGACAAGAACTTTACTTTGGGCAATAATTAATGATAGTAATTTTAACACAGACCAGCTGTTTACTTTCAAAAAGATATTTGGTCCTTTCCATTTCATCACATTTGCTTTTTCACACCATCTTTTTATCAGTGTAGATAGAGATAAGGGAGAATTTGCAGTGTGGAAGCTAATTTTCTGATTATTAATATTTTAAAATTATGTATGTTAATATTCATGCATAAGGGATAGGACAGACTTTCAATCATGTCAAATTATTACATGATCTTTTTATCAGTACAAATTATCAGATAATCGATGCATTTTTTCTAGGCCAATAATAGTAACCTTTGCTGTTGTACATAATAAGTCAGGTAACTGATGTAACCTTCAAGCTAACATTTAATTTTATTGCTTAAAAGAAAATTTTGAAATTAAATACACCACACTGCAGGGCAATGAAGGGAACTTGCTGGCAATTCAACTGTGATTTGATATATGATTTTGTCGTTTGCATGAACTGTCATAGTATTCACGTAAATAGCGTTCAACTATGTTAGTGCATTGATACCACGAAGTATTGTGCTTATTGTTACCACTTTTAAGCATTCATTTCCTTTCTATTTACTACATACTCTATTTGATTAAGTGAGCAAATTGTTTTTGAAATATATCAAATGCTGACTGATTATGTTGGGGTAGTGGACGTGGTGATAGTTATGGAATAGAAAGCGTTTTAAAAGAGGCAAAGATAGAGATAGATAATGAATGTGACGAAGTGTGGTCATCCAGTGAAAGAAGCATGGTCATGTTGCTGGAAATTTACCTCAACTTTTATCGATCAAAGAGTTAAAGACATCCTCCTTTCTCTGTTTCATTCTTTGTTTTTTATTTACGTCTGAGAAAAGTTACCAGGCAAAATCCGAATTTGAATGAACGTAGGTGTAGGACGACATGTTTCACAGTGCAACCCGTCGTATGATTTGCTCGCAAATTTCTCATGCGTGGTTGTGACGCGGCCGATGAGAAGAGGATGTTGGTGGGGGTCATGAAGGATTCCGTAATGGTCAGAGGTTGATTAGTTTCAGTGGGTGATTTTACTTGATGATTTTAGTTTAAGAGGACAATAAGTCTGAGAATTACGACTTAGCATGAAAATAAGCGACTTTTATGATTCGCCTTTGCAATCTTTTCAGTATTTCTTATCAGTGATTAAGCATGTTCAGTGTGTCTTGAAATGGAAGAGATGACAGGGTATCTACTTTAAATATTATGGAAAAGAAAAGCAGGTGACCTGTCTGTATAGTATAATTATGATCGATTTGAAGTTGATGTCGTCTTTTCATCATCATGCATTGTTAAATAAGTTTTGACCGAAATTCATTAAGAAATGGGGCAGCAGCAATCTGGTTTCGGTGGAAAGCGCGAGGATCGAGGAGGTGGCGATGCGGATAAGGTTGTTGGTTCTTTCCCTCTACTTATATGCTATACATCTAGAGAAAGATTATAGTTTTAATTGATCAGACATGTACCGGTGGATATGCTATCCAGTCAAAATTTGATGTGTGAACTTTTAAAGGAAAAGAAACGAAAATACGAGGCACCAGTTCCAACACGAATAGGAAAACGCAAGAAGAAGGGGAAGGGCCCAGATGCTGCCACAAAACTACCCACGGGTATTTTCTTCATAGCTGTTATCCATAAACTAACCTCAGTTGTATTGAGCGGTTTATAATAAGACAACCACTTAAGTGCTATTCTATTTCAAGTAACGCCTCATACTCGCTGTCGTTTGAAGCTGCTGAAGTATGAGCGAATCAAGGATTATCTATTGATGGAGCAAGAATTGATCCGAAATCAGGAACGCCTGAAACCACAGGAAGAGAGACAAGAGGTAATTTTATTATTTTGGAATTCTTGTCGGGAATCGGAAGAAAGTAACCACACTGTTTATTAACCCGAAAGAAAAAAGCTGCTTTAGGAAGAACGCAGTAAAGTAAATGATTTGCGTGGAACTCCAATGGCTGTTGGAAATTTGGAAGAAATCATCGATGATCAGCATGCAATCGTTTCCACGGTGCGTATCCACGCTTATGATGACTGTCATTAATCATATTTTTATAGTTTTTGCACCTTCTAATCAATGTTCCAGAATGTGGGGAGTGAACATTACGTAAATATTCTTTCATTTGTTGATAAGGAACAATTGGAACCTGGTTGTGCCGTGTTACTGAATCATAAAACTCATGCTGTGATAGGAGTTCTGGCTGATGATACAGATCCAATGGTTTCTGTAATGAAGTTGGAGAAAGCTCCGCAGGTAAAGGAAAAGTTTTAATGGATAAAATTTTTTTGCTAGGAATATTTTTCGTTGCATTAAAATGCAAATTATTTAGCAAAAAAAAACAACATTGAATTGGTTCTTATTGTGCTTTATAACGGAATAACGGACGAACAAAACGTTATTTTTTAGAGCTTTATTTATGCTTAAAACCTTTTGTTATAGGAAACATACGCAGACGTTGGGGGATTGGACCAACAAATACAGGAGATCAAAGAGTCTGTAGAATTGCCGTTAACTCATCCTGAATATTACGAAGAGATGGGCATTAAGCCGCCCAAAGGTTCACAGACTTGAAATATTCGACTTAATTCTCTACTGTTTTTTTCTTTTTTTTGGAGTAGATTTGGACCGACTTCTCTTTATAGATTTTGACGATTGCCAAGTAGTTTATTACTTTCCTATATTGTATGGTTTTTTGCTGCCATCGAAATCCTCTAAAAGTTCATCACACTAACTAGCGTTTGTGGTACGGATGTAATGCTTCTTTAGTAACTTTAGAGTATTTATTCGATGTTAAGAATTCTGTAATTTTGACTTTGTAGGTGTTATACTATATGGATGTCCTGGTACGGGTAAAACTCTGTTAGCCAAAGCAGTTGCTAATCAAACATCTGCTACATTTCTGCGTGTTGTTGGTTCAGAGCTTATCCAAAAGTATTTGGGTGATGGGCCCAAAATGGTGCGCGAACTTTTTCGAGTTGCTGAGGAGCACGCACCTGTCAGTATTATTTTTCACAGCATCTTGCTATTTTAGCCTTTTATTTCGTCACTTCAGTTTTCCCTGTTTCATCATTTAGTAACCCTTTTACTTTTAGTTAAAACCATAGCTATAGAAATTATCTTTTCAGTCAATAGTATTTATTGATGAAATTGACGCAGTTGGTACGAAAAGATACGATTCTAATTCCGGAGGAGAACGTGAAATCCAGCGTACTATGCTTGAATTACTCAATCAGCTAGATGGTTTTGATTCTCGTGGTGATGTAAAAGTAATTTCTTAATCATAAAGTCATTTTTAGAATTACCTTGAATCTGATTACTTTATTTATCGCTGTCATTACTGGTCAATACTTCTGCATATTTTTGAATTCTTGTACAAAAAGAAATGTTTATAAGAACTGGAAAGAAGTTGATTTGCTGTTCCAGGTGCTGATGGCGACAAATCGCATTGATTCATTAGATCCCGCTTTAATTAGGCCAGGTCGTATTGACCGTAAAATCGAATTTCCATTGCCGGATGAAAAGACTAAACGTCGCATTTTTCAAATCCATACATCACGAATGACGTTGGCTAACGATGTTGATCTTGATGAATTCATTGCAGCCAAGGATGAACTTAGTGGTGCAGATATTAAGGTTATCCTCTACTGTTATGTTTCGTTTTTATTTTATGGACTAAACAATGATCATAAATAACATAATCGAAATTTCTAAAAATATTGTGACGAAAATTTCGAAATTTCTAAAAATGTTTCTACTGCCTTCCTACTTTTTTTTGTATGAGTCCTTCAGGGAATATGTGCTCAGTAAAAAGCCGTTCACTTTGGATATTCATCTTTAAAGTAGAAATAAAAACCGAAAACATTTTTTTGAAAAGCTGAGATTTAAGTTTTTTCTTTAATTTTCCATTTAGTGCAAGTTGGAACTTATAAGAATTAAATTGAACATCCAATAGAAATTTCAGGCAATGTGTACAGAAGCAGGTTTGCTTGCGCTGCGTGAGCGTCGCATGAGAGTAACGATGGACGACTTCAAGAAATCAAAAGAGAACGTGCTTTACCGCAAGAACGAAGGAGCTCCGGAAGCTTTGTACTTATAAGAAGCTTGATGTTGTGTTTTCTTTCTACGTGCATCATTATACGTTAAGCTAATCGAAGTGAAATCGTTTTAGTTATCAAAAAGATCAATATTTTAAGGTTTTTATTTGGATGAGAAAAAAATGATAGGAAATAAATTATCTTATAAAAGCTTCATTAATACTTCATCGTAATTTCACCACCTCATCTTCGATTTCAATAAATTTCATCTGTTTTTTACATATGAACTGACAGTGTTGGCATAGGCATTTGTGCAGCAGTTCGAGAGTAGGTCATGCTTTGTTGTTTCGAGACTTTTAAAGAAAAAAAGAAGCATTGGATAATGCGAGGGATAGGATGCGTGGGCATTTTACTCAAAAAAAAAAAAAAAGAATTGGATTTTAGCTTTCTCACTGAAATTCTAATTGCAATTGCTGTGGTTCTGCAGGAAATCAAGAGAGAACTTGCTTTATCTGTGCAGATGGAAATGACTGGAATGAACACTAGTGTATTATGGAAATTGATGTTCTTGATGTGTTTACCGATAAGTTGTCAAATGAACTGTTGCGTACCACTCAGTGGATTGGATTGACATTTAATATGCAGTGGTTGAAATAAGCTTACTTTACGTTTGTTGTTACGAAACTAAAGGTTGACCCACGGTTTGCTACTTGATGACTTTCCCATTTTGATTGTTTTCATCTGCGCAGCTTCAATAGTTATAATACCGTTTTAACTAAAGCAACTGAAATTGAGCGTATTTTGATGGAAGGATTTTTATTGAAAGGATTCTTATACAAGGGTTTTTACTTAATTGTCTTCATTAATAATATGAAGGAATCGTTTAGGTGAAGCCCAAAATATTATGGGATTGATGGTATTGTTATGCTGTGGCCTATAAATAAGCTAATTGAAGGACCGATATCTTCGGTCAGGTTGAGTTCGCGTGTGATAGAAGGATTACCCATTACAATTATTACAATCCAGGGAATGTAGAACATGGCAGCAGAGTAGTGATCTGATTTATGAAGACAAGGCAGCGCACTGATGATCGAAAGGAAAATTTTATTCCTGCAAAAAATTATATTTACATCACACAGATAAGATTCACCATTCACTGATTTTTTTCTGGTTTGGATATTGTAACCGGGAAATAATCAAGGTTCACTTGAAGTAAACTTACTCCGAAGTCAAATGATCAAAAGCCGCGATTGCTTGTGATGGATGTCTTACTGAATATTGGCTGTTGTCGATCTTTTTCTGATTTACTTTCCGGATTATTCGAAGGATAACAAATTTGGTGTCCACAAGCCCAAGACATGTAAGATATGTCAAATCTTAGTGAGGATTTTACGGATTTCCTCCTTGATCTGTATGAGTATTGCACTTTGTTCAAAAACTGTAATTTTAATTCGTTGCTGAAATTAGTAATACTTGATTCCAAGTAGTAAAAACATTATAATACTCGACTCCAGACGGTAAAAACATTACTGTACCTGGATTTCAAGCAAATGAAAAGCTTAAGCACTGTATTACAAAACCCGATAAATTGAAAACAATTCACGTCACACTTTATCGTTAGTACTTACATTTTTGATTCTTCGTCATCCATTATCTTATCAGTTACAGTTGTTGAGTAAACATTAAGCTTTTTACCCTCACATCTAATTTTCCGCAATAAATTTACTGCTTTTAATGTATCGGAAAATCTCACTTGCCTTCTTACTACTTTCGTAATTTGCAGTCTCCCGTTATATGACATGAACCACAAAGGCAGTTGTATAATCTCGAGATTGTTGCAAGCTTGTAGAAGTGAATTATGCAGAATAATGTAGTCTGATCGAAAAAGAAAGCATCAAATTTTTTCTTAAGAATCTCTTCTTCTTTTAGTAAGGATTTAATTGTAAAAGAAAGGAAATATTTCCTGATAACAGTCTCATAGAAACATGTGCAGTTGCTGGTAAGGTAACTAAAACAAGATAGAGAAGGTACAGTCTCTATGAATTCAGGTTAGATGATGCTTGATCGAGATATCTTCCTGAAAAAACCTCGGTTACCACCAAATATTTCAAATGAGATGAAATTAAAATGATTTTTTGAATCAAAAATTTTTCTTTTATGCTGATTGATATATTTTCATGCATTATTATTTCAAGATGCAGAATTTAGGAACTTGTCTTTTGAGAAAAGCAACAAATGATGATATCATTCAAATAGAAAAGTTAATTTGATCCAGGTAGGCCTGGTTCATTCGAATTTCTTCCCAGTGTCATTTGTTGACGCGTTTTAACAAACTATCAAAATTTGCTTTATCCAACTTCTTTTCCCATTTCTGAACAGGCATTTTACTAATTGTGGGACAAATACGATGCTGAATGATGGAAGGGGAATAAGAAAAAATTTTATGCGGGACAAGGATTATTTCCCCAGCACACCTTCAATACTTTTGATACCTTCGATATTGAAAAGTGCCCAGTAAAAATGTTTACCAATCTTGTGACATTAGAAATATATTGCCATTATGATCTAATGAAAACCAGGTTTTTTTTTGAATGCAATACTTTGTTTTAGTATCAATTTAATCTCATTTTTTCAATAAAAGGGAATTGCAAGAAAAAGCTGAAGGATCACTTCCATTTATGGTTTTTTTATACTTTCTGAAATCTTATTACTGAAAGTAAGGGTCACTTCAAATGACCCGATATCATTTCATTGACAAATTACAAGATGGAGAGAGTTGCATTGGAATTCAATAAAAAAAATTGTTGTCAATGATGACACTATAGAATGAAATACTTCTCATCTGTCTTCATCAAATATTACCCCTAATATCTCTCGAGTTATCATTTTGAAATTGCAATTTTAGAAAGTAACAAGTGGCAATATTTTTCAAACGTATTGTGTAACGAAGTATTGCATTTAAAAAAAAAGCATAGTTTCACTCTTCTAGCTATCATCCAATTAGTCCCATGATACCACCGATTGCAGCACCAGTGCCTGCACCTTTCAACGCTCCATATGCACCACTTTTCAACAACTTACTGAAGCTAAAATTATATGTGAAAAAGTGGCCAAGAAATTGCGTTTAGCGAATTATCAAGTACCACAATTGCTACCAATAATGGAAGTTTTATGAAGTGAGCATATACGATATGGCAGCTCATTTAGTACCTCCATGATAAGATTTAGTTAAGAATGCTTTATGAAAGAGATCGGTGAAGCTCTATGAAATGTTAAGTCATATCTTAAAAGCATGTATTGAATCTACTTTTGAATGATATTTATGCTATCAAAACTTACCTAACTAACATCTCATAACAGTTACTAAGTTAGGAGTAGAAAAACTGACCTGGGAAGATAGTAGTAGATAGGGTAGAGGAAATTACGGAAACCATGTGAAAAGCCACCCATATTTGAAGTGAAATCATAAGGTTGAGGCTGGAAATAAGAGCCGGAATATGGCTGGTTCCCATAACCATACCCATAACCTCCATAAGAAGCACCATAAGAATATCTACCCCAACCATAATTCCCGAAACTCAGTGCTGGAACAAGAATCAGAAATACGCCCAGCAATAACATTTTTACTCTGCAAATAAATAATCAAAAACGAATTTCAACAAGAAATTTTTCGAAGTTTCAGTGAGAATATCTTTTCAATCTCACTTCTTATTTTTCTCTTCTCATATCTGAGGGCCCATTACCGCAGTAATAACTCTATTTTTCATTAGATGAAAATTCATTAGATTCATTAGATAAAAAATAAAGTTATTACAACGATAATGTGCCTCAGTGTAATTTATACTTTTGAATTTAAAAAAGTGATATAAATTTAAAGAATTGGGTTTTTTAAAAGAAACTATTAATGGAAGGTAGCCGACGTTGACTTTGGTCAAGATGGTTTCTATTTAATCAGAATGGTTACCTGTTCTTAACTATATTGTTTTATACCCAAAATGAAGCTATTCAAGGTCATGGCTTTGCCTTGTCCTAATTAATAAAAAACCGGAAAATAGAAAATAATGTCTTTGATTGACATCGCAAGTTTTACAAGTTTTACAAGCGTGGGTTGTCAGGGATTATTCGTAAGAATTGTTAATTTATTTGCAAGAGCAAAGGAGAGCAAAGATTCTCCGACGGCTTGTAAATTTAGTTTTAGGTCTACCTTAAACATTCTCGGCATAATTAATTGATTAATCAACTTAGCATTCAATATGGGCATTTACTTTCCGGAGAATCTTTTGCATTTCCAGTACAAACATTAGGATTTCGATTTCTGTGCTAACAAAGTGATGAATTTTTCCATATTTCTCCTTTTTTGTGGCGGCAGAATCAAAAAAGAAGGAAGGAATCAAGAAATGCAAATGGAAGGAGGCGAAAGGATTAGATTCGCCGATGACCTTGGCCTACTACTCTCTTGCAATCCAGTTTTATATTTCAAATGCAATCGTAAATTTATATAAAATAGTTAGTTGGAAAAAAACGATCAACTCTCGATCGGCTTCTTCAACCACTGCCATTATCTTCGATTGTCTTCTTTTGATTTCAGCCATGTGGTTCTGTTCAACTTCTCTTCCCTTGGCTACTATCATGTCTGTGATAATAATCCTTCCAAGTTCCGATGGTCATGCATTAGGTGGAGGTTCAAATGGGTTTGGATGTTGCATGTTAGTTTGTTTCTCATTTTAACATTTTTGAGCTTTTTAGGATACTGCTTTACTAGCTATTCGTTGCTTTTTTCGCAGTAACAGAATTTAGGAATAGTTACTTTTCTGTGGTTCATTGAAAATTTCAGCGGGTTTAGAGTAATGGAGGCTATTATGTCTCTCTCTGGTAGATTTGTAAATTTTGCTGGTAGGTTTTGAAAAAAATTAGGGTTTTTTTTTTGCAACGCATTTCACAAGAGAAATTTGAAAAAAGAATTTTTGAAGTAGTTCTTTTAGTTTTTAAATCTTGTGTTTAAAAAAACTTTCTTGGAAGTGTCCACAGATGCTCAAAAATACAAATTTGCTATGATTAATATTTTTTAATTTAGGACACCATGTCCACTCAAAGTACCTACCTGTGAATGCCCTTGTCGATTACCTTTGTTACCACAATCGCCTTTAATGCTACCGCAATCACTGCCCTTGTTTCCACCATTACCCACATTTCCACAATTTCCGGCATATCCTAATGGTGCTTATGCTGTGCCAGATAATAGTAATGTACGGCAGCAAATGGTTGAAAATGGATATTCGCAACAACCTTACACATATAAAACACTGCCAAGCATTTCAAATCAACAGCGCCCATCAGTGAGCTTTTTATTTAATAGTTTACATTTCTGTAATTTTCTTTTTTACTCAAAGAAATAAAGAGCTGATATAACTTGTGTAAAAAAAAAGAACTTTGCTGTCAGTAGATGATAGTTACTTTAAATGAGACAATTTGCAAAAAATGTTGTGCTCACAGCCCAGACTGTAGTCTGGACCTTATTGTAATTACCGTTAGCCTTTTTTATTTGTATTTTACTCTGAAAATAATTTGATACAGAAAAAAATGCGTTCTTGACACTGTCATTTCTTATTAATAAGAATGGTGGGATGAGATAATAGGATAATGACGAGACCGAAAGAGGAATCATGTTGAATTCATTAATATTTTGTGGTCAGTGAATAATTTGCATAAATGATTCTGATGGAATTTATTGTAATATCAACATTTTGCATTCTGCACCTTTGCTGAAGACAATTAATTAATTTCTGTATGCACTAATAATGGAAAGATCGTTGGAATGCCAAGTCACTCTCTGGATTTTATTTTTATTGTTTAAAATAACAATTAAATATGGCAGAATAAATTGAGATAATGTCAATGGTATCTTTGGATTTTCCATCAAGTGCAGTTTTACAGTATCAAAATGCGGGAGCATATGGTTACAGTGTAAATCAACTTGAACAACCAACTGGCAGCGTTTCCACTGGTTATGCAACTGGTTCGTATGGTCTCGGAAATGGTAACTTCGGTGATTATTCTTCTGCGTACAGCCTTCCACAAAGCGGACTGAATGAAAATAGATTTAGTGCACTGCCACAACAGGTACCAGTTTCTGGTGCGGGACAGTATATGTCTGGGCCACTAAGCCACGCACTGCAGTCTGATACTCCTCTGGCTGTTACGGCAGATACTGCTGGAACCGAATATAATTCATCACCAACAGCAGGCGACTATGAAAAGAAAACCAAGGCATTTTTGAAAATGCGCAAAAGTCAGTTGGCGTAAATGCCATGATTAGATCCACATCGAGAATTTCAAAATGCCTAAAATATTATTGATTCGAAAAAGTTGGTGCCTTCGCTTAATTTCATCTTGTAAATAGGTAACGGTCTGAAAGAATTTAATTTGCTTACTAAAAATCTTAAATCAAGAGTTCCTCTGATTCATATCAAAATTCGAAGTCCATGCAAAACTTTGTTGCACCAACAAATTTGGATGTAATGTTTTTGTTGGCTTTTATCTGTTGTTATTTAAGGTTGTCGCCTTACATTGTTATATGTCACACGTAATTTGTTCTTTGAAATATGTCATGCACTTTACTTGTCACCTCATTGCATTCTTATGATTTAAATGAAATCATATTGTTTTAATTCATTTCTCTGTTACACTTGCAGTGATGTACTTATTAATTTATGCTAATAGTAATTGAATACAACGGACTTCTGATACTAACGCAACTGCAAATCGTATTTCTGAATAATTTTTCTACTCAATCTGATAATTGGTAATTAGT